CGACAGGATCACCTGTCAGGATGCCGACACCCTGAGGCTGTGTTAAGCCATCATTGATAGCTGGAGTGGCACCGTTAACAGCAACGGCATTGCCGCCCGACTTTGTTAGCTGTTGGAGACTCTTTGCCGCCTGACGTGAGAGACACTTTATCAACTGTGATTCGTCGATATTATTGCTATCATCGTCGTCAAGAACGGCGACAGAGGAGACATTGATCAGAATGGAGCTTTCACGAATCAATGTACTCGCCCGTTTGCGGATGGCAGTGACAATATCCGAAGCTTCCTCTTTGCCAGGGTGAAGATGTTCGTTCCTCAGATTGAGAGTCGCAGAGGCCTTGTATGTCTGGAAGGAGCCTAAGCAATCCTGAAAATTCCCATAATATCGTGGCCCAAGGTTGTAAAAAACAGCTACCATGTCGTCGCTATAAGCCTCGTCGAAGAGCATTCCATTGGCGAGGGACCATCGGGAAGTGGACACGCCTTTTCCGAGGCGCATTGCCAGGTCTTGAGGAGTGCCAAAGAATGCCTGCACGCGCGATGGCTTGCTTGGATGATGGCTTACGGGAACGGATGGGTATTCGATCTTCAATTGTTCAACAAACTCGCCGTCTATGAAAAGAGATGCGCGGGAAGAAGACATTGGCTTCGGTCTCTTTTGAACAACACAAATATGGTACCAGCGATTTGGCTCAAATTTTGCCGACTTGAACCGAACACTAGGACGGGAACCTCGAATCGAAGTTTGGAGAATAAAGTTCCGAGTATCCTTTTCGAGGTAGGCAAGAATGAAACATGTTTGGCTTGCATCAAATGCTCCAAAGATAGTAGTATGCGTGTTGGAATCGAACTCGTCGAAACGGGCCCAGGCTGCAAGAGTGTAGCCGGAAGAATTGATAGGAGGGAATGGTCGACCGAGCGTTGCAAACTCAACTGAGCAGTACCCGTGACGGGACATATCAAACTGTATTGACGGAGGCTCCTTCGAAGATTTTAGAGCAGACAATAGGACTTTTAGAACTTGCGGGCTTTCATGCGCTCCACGGTATAAGGAAACAGCATCATCCAAGCTACTCATGCCCTGGACGCTGAGAAATTGGGCGAGATCTTGGTAAATTGCCTTCTCCTTGTCTGACCGTGCACCGTCGAATAAGAGAGGTAGAATTGAGGTGAGCATATCTGTGGCATGCAGGGCTACGACGTTCCTTCGAGACTGCGAGGCCAATTGGCAGAGACATGCGGGCAAAGCCAGGCGTAACATGTCATATCCAGATGACAAAGAGGAATGTATCAACCACACACGAATGAATGGCCCAAGTAGCTCCGGTACTTCCACCGTCTCAGCTGATCCAATGCAGTGATCCACGGCATCCTGGACTTCTTTCGGAGACGAAGAGTCCTTATTCTGGGGAAACTTGGTGCTCAGTGTTACAAAAATACCCGACACCGTCTCCTGGCATAGAGCTGCGGCCAAAATGGCGCCGTAGAGATGTTGCGCGTCACCCTCAGTTGTGTCTATCTTTTTGACCAGCACAGTCAAAGTTCGTTCCAGTGTAGAAATGCCTCCCCCTACTATCTTCCGAGCAAAATATCGCTTGTTGCCAAAATGATCCTTCAGACCCTCTGCCAATACCCCGAGTACATCTTTGAAGATACCCAATAGGCCTTTTCGTTCCTCCTTGGATTTGTGTACCGGGTCGTAGAGATCAGCTACCTGGTCCACCAGCGCCAGGAGCGTCTGAAAGCCCTGGAGATGTCGGAATGCATCTTTGGCGGTGCGTGGATGTGCATCATCTATGAAGGTATGGCGGAGGCGGAGAAGGGATTCGGTCGTCGATTGAGCCTGGGACAGAGTAATCGCGGTGCCTGCACCGACGTTCTTGAGCTGGTCAATGGTTGGGGCTAGCTCTTCGGCCAATCGTTCGGTCGATCCGGAAGGGGAGGGAGGGTGGAGGGGAGCCGGCGGAGCCATTGCCAAATCTTATCCACGTCCGCTCCGATGGCGTATGACCATCAGAGACCGTGAATGTTCAATAGCGGGTACAACGGTCTGCATTGGTGTGTGACAGTGCTAGTGCCAAAATAGGAAGCCTAGCGGTTAGGAGAATTTGCAGGACTCGTCATCCGCAGAATCCCATGTCAAATATTCAGCCACCTCTGTAATTCGCTACCTGGGAGGGAGGGGCGGGGGGGAGTTGGATATCAGGTGACTGACTCAGTGGCTCTTTGGGAGAGGGGGCTGGACACATGTACACAGCCCTGCTGTTGTATTGTAAGAATGGTAAAATTCAAAATTACAGGCGATAACTGATAGGACATGATAAGCGCGATAAGATGCAGCTCTGAGCAATGTGGAGAAGCTTGGAAGTGATCCTATGATGTGATGGGCTTCTCCGCAGATTGGCAAAGTTGTATCCAATAATGGCACTCTCATGCAAAACAAGGGGTATTGGACTAAGATTTGAGTCACCCGAACACAAAGCACGCGACTTCGGAGGATGAGTTGCCTTGGAGAATATGGGCCGTGCGAGGGGGTTGCCTATAGCCTATAGCAAGGCGAAACTGCCAGGTACCCGGGGGAAGGTTACCACATGCACCACCTTGCTATAGTTACTTTATTTTATTTTTACTTATTATTCGTATCCGGGCGATATTCAATCAACTCAAATCATACTTCATATGATGATAGGTTTAATAGATAACTATGGATACTAGTCATGATAAGTCAAGTGGATGTCTTAAAATGGTTCCCGAGACCAAAGTGACCATACCATACGGTATCGGCTACCCCCATTCTCAAACAGTTCTCCACTGGATCGACATCGACAGGTCATCCGCCGGCGTAACCGTATGTAATGCCCGCTTGCATCATCGATCCCCCGTCTCCTCCCTAGATAAGCTGCCCTTCTCCTCATCTTTCCCCTTCTCCTCTTCATCCAACCTATCCTTCACTCATCCTTTCCTACCTACAATTATCGTTTACTCTATCGTTTCTTCTACCGTGTTTATTTACCCACTTTGCCCAGCATGAAAGGCTTCCTCAGCCTAACAGTGCTCCCGTTGTTGGTAGCTGCCTCGCCCGTGTCAGTCGGCTCCATCCACAAAGATGCAGCTCCTATCCTCTCCTCCATGACCTCCCAAGATATTCCGGATTCATATATCGTTGTATTCAAGAAGCATGTTGACCAGAGCTCTGCCTCCGCTCACCAAAGCTGGTTGCAGGAGGTCCACACCGCTCATACCGGTCGGATGGAGTTGAAGAAGCGCTCCCTGTTCGGCTTTGACTTTGAGGCTTTCATGGGCCTGAAGCACACTTTCCAAATTGCTGGATCTCTCACAGGATATGCTGGTCATTTCCACGAGGATGTTATCGAGCAGATCCGCCGTCATCCTGATGTTAGTACCCCCATTCTCTCCTTGCGGAAGTTCCCGAGGTCGGCGGCTAATATGACTCAATAGGTTGACTACATTGAGAAGGACTCTGAGGTCCGTAGTATGACCGATGGTACTATTGAGAAGAACGCCCCTTGGGGTCTTGCCCGTATTTCTCACCGGGAAAGCCTCTCCTTCGGCAACTTCAACAAGTATTTGTATGCCGAGGAGGCTGGTGAGGGTGTCGATGCCTACGTTATTGATACTGGCACCAACACCAAGCACGTTGACTTCGAGGGCCGTGCTAAATGGGGCAAGACCATCCCCCAGGGTGATGCCGATGAGGATGGAAACGGTCACGGAACTCACTGCTCTGGTACTATTGCCGGCAAGAAGTTCGGTGTTGCCAAGAAGGCCAACGTTTACGCTGTCAAAGTTCTTCGCTCTAACGGCTCGGGTACTATGTCCGATGTCGTCAAGGGTGTTGAATGGGCGGCCGAGGCTCATATCAAGAAGTCGAAGAAGGGCGACAAGAAGTTCAAGGGTAGCGTTGCCAACATGTCTCTCGGTGGTGGTAGCTCCCGCACCCTGGATCTCGCTGTGAATGCCGCTGTTGACGCTGGTATTCACTTCGCTGTTGCTGCCGGTAATGACAACGCTGACGCCTGCAACTACTCCCCCGCTGCTGCCGAGAAGGCCGTTACTGTTGGCGCCTCCACCCTGGCTGATGAGCGTGCTTACTTCTCCAACTACGGAAAGTGCACTGACATCTTTGCCCCTGGTCTGAACATCCTCTCCACCTGGGTTGGTAGCGAGCATGCCACCAACACCATTTCCGGCACCTCCATGGCCTCTCCTCACATCGCCGGTTTGCTGGCCTACTACGTCTCCCTGGTACCCGCCAAGGACTCCGCCTATGCCGTCGCCGATATCACCCCCAAGCAGGTCAAGGCCGCTCTTATTAACGTCGCCACTGAGGGCACCCTTACTGACATTCCCTCTGACACCCCCAACGTAAGTTTTCCCCCTTTATCTAGATGACATGGATTAGGCTGACTTTTACCTTAGCTTCTCGCCTGGAACGGTGGTGGTTCCAACAACTTCACCAAGATCATTGCCGAAGGTGGTTACAAGGCCGGTGTCAAGGCTAAGGAGCCCACTGTCGATGAGCGCATTGGCAGCATCATCGACAACGCTGAGAATGCCTTCCACAAGGAGCTTGGCGCTATCTACAGCGAGATCAAGGATGCTGTCTCTGCATAGATTAGAAAGTTGTTAGGGTTCTGTCTGTGACAAACCCCACAACTCGGGCATACGGATGGATGGATTAACACAGGCGCACATCATATTTTCTTTGGTTTTATCTCGGTTTTTTTTTTTGGATTCTCCAACACGAATCCGCGGGTTTATCCCGCCACTACACTCCTATACACAGATTGTTTTTGCTATTTCGCTATTTCGTTGCTTTGCGTAGCATACTTGTCTACAACCATAAGTTCGGAGTGATTTAGAATACGTTTTGATTTATCAAACGATGATTTATCCGGCATTTGAACCCCCACAAAATAGGTTAATTTAGGCCCGTAGCAAGTAGATGTAGTCATACATTCAACATACCTAGGTATGCTCTACAACACGTCATTAATTCGACTCACGTCGGCCTGTCCTTCCAAACCCCAACACCACCGACTCGCCCTGTCAGTCCGCTCTTCTCCCAGAATTCCAACACACTGATCAACGAACTTTGCCGTTAACTGTTCATTTGTCATGGGGTGTTCCAAGCTACCCATGGCATAGTCGACATGCTTCTCAATACTAGCCCCTCCCCTCACTCTCACAACAAGATGACACTCATCCGCCCGCAAATTCTCATCAGGAACCGCCCTAAACCGAGCCCTCAATGCCACAACCCGCCCATCAAGCACCACATCATCTTCATACTGCGCCGGCGCAGCCTTCCCGAACAATAAACCAACTGAACCACCATGATAAACACTAAACTTAGCCTCCAGTCCATCGTTCGGCGTCGTCTTCCCCGTCAACTCTAGAACGAGCGGATGCACATCCGCAACAACCTCTTCAACATCCGCAACATCAACCCCAACCCTCCCCAACTCCCTATGCAACCAAACACACCCATCAATAACTGGGTGAACAACAATCCCACAAGGAAACGGCTTGAACGCATTTCTCACAATCTCCCACCGCCCACCTTCCCCAAGCCCCGCAATCTCCTCTTCAAGCCTATTCCCCCCAGAACAAACAACATTAGCCCACCCCCTCTTCGCCTCAAGCGCCTCAACCGAACTCGTAAACCCCTCCCGCGAAAGCAAAGCAGCAAGCAACCCATTCTGCGCCGCCCTTCCAGGATGAAAAGACTTCGCATGGGACCCAAACATTTCCCTCAGCCCCGTAACCTGCGTAGCGGCAAGACCAATCGCATGAGCGACACGCTCAGCCGATAACGCAAGTAAATTCGCCACCGCCACAGCAGCACCGATTGAACCCGTGGTAGAAGTAATATGCCAGCCGATATCGTAATGCTCCGGCCAGACGGCGAGACCGATTTTACACTCAGCTTCAATACCGGCGACCAGCGCGGTTATGAACTGGGTCCCGGAGACGGGGTGTGGGAGGGTCGGGATTATAGCGAGGAGGGCACATGCTACAGGGCCTGTTGGGTGGATTATTGTGTCCAGGTGGGTGTCGTCGTAGTCGTGGACGTGGGAGGCGATTCCGTTGAAAAGTGCGGCGTGCATGGCGTCGGTGGAGGTGTTTGTGCCGAGGAGGTGGGAGGTCGGTGGTCCTGTGAAAGGGGATAGGGCATTACGGGCTATTGTTGTTGCTGGGTGCTTGCTCCCACCGACTATGCATCCGGCTATGTTGTAGAAGCTTCGTACTGCGGCGTGGATTACTTCTTCTGGGAGGTCGGAGTAGGATAGAGAGACTGTCCAGTCGGCCAGGGTTTGTGTTGCCATCTTGGATTATTGTGGTTGGTTTCTGTTTCAATGTAATGTTGGGGCAGTTGATGTTGGGTTGTAGTGAGTATGTAGATATAGTTACGATCGATTAGGGGTCCGATATAGGCGCCAAGCATACATATGTTGAGTACAACATTGGGTTTAAAGTGGGGGGACAAGTGTGTGGGGGAGGAGAGTCCACTTTTGCTCGGCAATGCGGATTCATATGGCTAAAGGAAACCTAATGATATGGTATGCAGATGGGGCTGATATAGCTGAAAGTTTGAATGACATTTTAAAAATGGATTAGAATTTCATTTCATTTCGCTAAAATATCTGTGCAACATTAGGGTATTGCATGTTATCATAAAAACCATAAAACCCATAATGCTAGGGGAAAAAAAATGATCCCGCTAAACGCCTGTCGTATGAAAAATCACTAAGGTGCGCCGAGAATGCTGAATATGCGCAGAGAAGCAGATATGAGAACGATTGATCATGCAGCAACTCTCTGGATGAAAGACACCGAAAATCGTCCTTACACCTTGTCCGTCTCTGTGAAATCCTCGTTGGCCGATTCGAACTCGTCCTCGTCCATATCCATATCACTGCCGCTAGACTGTTGCATGTCGAGTGTTTCGTCAGAGTCACTGCCACCAAACTCATCGCTGTCGGCATCACTATCGGCCCAGAAGTCGTGGTCTTCCTTCTCCACAGGCGGCTCGGGGGCAGGAGTATCGTGTGCGGGCATCTCGAAACCGGCAGGAATATCCATCTTAGATTTCTCGACATCGGACTTAACACGCTGACGGTAGACCTCCGGTTCGTTTCGAAGCAAGACGGCAGCGTCGATGTTTGCGGGGGAGGCAGGCTCGGCATCGTCAAGCAGAGAGATAATGGAGATCAGGACCGACTCGACACGCTGGGCAGGGGACCAGCGCTCAGAGGCAAGCTCGCCGGACATTTCATCCTCGCCAGGCGTATGAAGGATGGAAATGCATAGCTTACCGCTGGGGTAGATGTTCGGATGGTAGAGAGGTTTCAGGAAACGAAACTCTAATAGTGATGAAAAATCTCGTCAACCACATTGAAGACGAGAAGGGGGCAAGGAAGGTGTCATACTTGGTGGAGCATAAGGGTAGTCGGACGGGAATGTCATTGAGGCTTTAAAATAGCCACCGTAGTACAATGAGTCCGGGTTCATCACGATCAAAGCAACATCCCAGTTAAAGATGTCGTCATTGTGCAACTGTACAAGATGTGTCAGTAACCTGTTGGTGTAGAAGTGTCAAAGGGGTTCGATAGTGACGTGTTGAACATACCTGGATGTGAACCCACTTCTCCTTGTGAAGGGTCTTGAATTCGTTCATCAAGATGCGTTCCGCCATCGCGATCGACAAACGGAAATTCAAGATAATGCACTTGGAAAGACGATGAGGTTCGGGGCAATCGATCTTTATATGGGTAAAATGTCGCGAGGCAGCACCGGTTGCCTATGTTGTATGCAAATTGAAAGCAAAGGTGGGTATGGTATTAATTAAAGAGACCTGTCACAGTTTAGGCAATGTCGGCATCACGAGGACCGAGGCCTTTTGAGATCAACGGATGCCTCAAATGGATTTCGGTGACGCTGACTAAGAGAATCCTCAGCGCCACCTCGGATTCTGCTTAGTTATACATTTTATACCTAACTAGGTAACTATCATGAAATCTTGTAATGTCGAATTCTAAACGCTTGAAAATCTTCTGTACTCAATGTATAAGCTTGGATATCTAATCTAACAATGCCCAGACTGTATTCAGTTCAATTTTCTATTCCCTTGTCAATACTTCAACCATATGTATAGGGGATTGATAAGGGGATTGATAGAGGGACAGTCCCTGCCTGAAACGCCAGGCTTAAATTCTTCATCGGGTAATATGTCTGCCTCGACACTTTCACCGCCTTCCTCACCGACTTCGTGGTAAATATACTCCGTCTCCCGTCCCCCCACTATAGGACGACAGCAGATACCTGCAATTTGCATACAAAGACATAGTAAAAACAAGTCACTTAAGTCTCATATAGGACTCGACCAAAACAAACAAATAATACAATTTTGATTTGCATACATAAACCTACCATCCTCCTCACTATCTTCATCGTCGTTTAAATTATCATTTTTACTATCATTTTCATCAGTTTTGATTGTTCTTTTCCATTATTTTCCAGCTGTTAAGATAGCCTCTCCGATTCGGACCCTGAGCTCGTCCCCGAGTCTCCACCCGCAATGCCAAGCACCTAGGCCAGCAGCACCCAGCAATCCAGCCTTCCCCCGATCCGTTAAGCCAAGATCGTTCTATACACCGAGATCCTTCGTTATAGGAGGAGAGCCGGTGGCACCTTGTCATCAGCATCACTTTCGTCGCGGAATGTTATATTCTCGTCTCGTTTTGCGCATGATCTTTTCCGACAGTCGTGTCCCACTATCCATCTATCAACCTCTCAATTCACTTGTTTTGTGAAAAAGGCATACTGTGGTAAAGATATATAGGAACCGTTCTACCTAAGGACCTCATTCTTGTCCACGAATTTCGCGATCATTACTCACTACAAGTCCGAAAAGAGATGGCTGTGGAAGCTACTAGCCATATGGTCCTCAATACAAACAAAAGCAATGGCGTACAATGACAAAGAAATCGAGTGGGGTGATATAACTATAAAATATATGTATATGTATATGTATATATACTTTGGGTAGTGATGTGATTGGTTCGTCATCAAGCTCCCTTCCTTACCTAGGTAGCATCAAGTCCATTTTATGATTCTCGATTCAAGACAATATCGTCTGCATATAAAAATGTTCCAAAATATCATTCGTCATGTGCAGGCACCTATACTTAGCCTCTCACGTCTCCCGAATCGCCGCTCTTTCTCATATGTGTCGGCACACTCAGCCTTTCCAGCAAGCTTGTATCGATTTCAGGTACACCGTGACTCCAGGCTTTATGACAAAACTTTTGAACAATATGGCCGGGAAGCCGAAGATGGAGTAGAAGTCAATGCGGACGGCTTGGTGTATCCAAGTAGAACAGTCAAGTGTATGCGAAACGTCCCTTCGCATTATTCGCCGGCTAACCTATTTAGGTTCCAATGGTGCATTATTCATGCCGAATACGCACTTAATGCAAAAGGTCACACGGATGTCGAATAACTATTACTTGGAAGACGTAGAAAGTGGCAAGGCCGCCGCCGAAGCTCATTATTTGTGTATACCCAAAGGTGATTGAATGACCTTGTTCCGAGACGCCAAACTCACTTTTCTGTCCTATAAGGAACCGTTATCCCAAAGTCGTTGATTCTTTTCCGTGAGCATACTTCTCGCTTCTCTCTGCAACCTGCGCATGCCATGCCACTTGATAGTATGGCCAAGATAAGTCCTCAACGAGAAACATAATGGCTGACATCGAGTAAAGGCCTCAACAGTACTCTCACTCGGTTTTATCTCGAATTTGGGCGCACTTTCAATCCTGACGCTTGGCTTGAGAGGAACCCCTACGATGATGCATTTTCTGATGACGAGGAAGAGTGGATGGACTACTAATACTAATACATATGCATGTTGGATTGTATGTTTTTATTGAGTACCAGGTGTTAGTTAGCTAGTTAGTATACGAAATACATGTATCAGGATTGACCATGTCCTTCCGATGCTTATACATACCGTAGTGGGTGCTGTTAAAAGACGATGAGACGTTCTAAGACCTTTTAAGGCGTTTTTAAAAGGCGCTTTTTAAGGCGTTGTTTTTAGTGGAGAGGCGGAATAAGCCGAATAAGCCGATTGAGATAGGTCATCCGAACCATTTGAATACTTCATCTGAAACATTTGGAGGAATTTGCTACCTCGGGCTCCCAAAGGAGTTTAAGTCGATAATGACATTGTGATAGAAATAATAACTAGTTAACTAGTTAACAGTTATGGGACGTAGTTATATGGTACTTCACTCCACCACCAAAATTCGGTGGTGGCCAATGTCACCTCTACCCGGAGTCCGTCCACCGCCGGTTTTGGATCATTTGCCATTTTCTCTTCGAAATTCTTTCCCCGCCCCTAGGACCCCCCTCAACACAACCTTGAAAAGATCTTTGATCCTTGCTTTACAGAATCTGAGTAGACTCCCCTCTGCTACTCTTTTGCCTCTACGGCCCTCGCTCCCGAAACCCTCATCCCAGCGTCACAGTTCATCTTGACTTTGCGATGCCAGCCTTGTCCGGCAATCTAGAAAACTATTGTCGCTAAAGGGGTGGTTCACAATAATCAAATCCCGGTCGCATCACTCATTCATTACTATCGCCAGCTGAAGAGCTGTGTGATCGAGTCGCGTGAGGTTTGAGAGAGCTTGGGAACTTTAGTTTTCTGCGAGCTTTGCGGTTAAAACATGCTACCGCAATGTCAAGGCCCCATCTGGGCCATTGATGACCTGTCTCGTTGCTTCCAGCGCAAGTGGGTCTACACCAATGACAATCCCGACCGTTGAAATTTTATGCTGATCAGAAGATACATCTTAATAGCATTCTTCAGGTCATACTTCCCCTCACAGTTTGCGGCGCTTCGCTGCTGCTGATCCTTATTCGCCTCGCTCATCGATATGTCCTCGCCCGAAAAGGGATCGCCTACAAAGTCCTCCCGAACAATGACTCCGAAGATGAGGTTCCCAATGCGACGCAAGGAAACGAGTCCGATACGATACTATTCCAAGCTGTACAACACGAACAATCCCAGGTTGAGGTCAATCGCCCGCGTGGAGAAATAGCCGTTGTATTACTCGAAATCGCAGCTTTGATTGGACAAGTTGCGCTCTACATAGTTATTTTGTCCACTCACGCCTGGGGTCGACATGGGACCCTTCCCGCCGTGGCTGGGCTTATATCGTGGGGCTATATCCTTTTCCTGGTGTTGGTCCGGTTCCTCTTATCGACCCTGGATCTTTTTTCCGCGCCGAGACTATGGACGTATACGGCAAGTCTATACGGCTTCCAGTGGTTGTTCAACGTCATGGTCTTCCGATCCGCCATTATCCACCCCTTGTCCCAGAACGCCCTGGTTCTCAGTAGCGTTCAGTTCACTCTGAGTACGGTGCTGCTGCTCATTGCACTCACCACGCGCCGAGGCAACAAGCCAGTTCTGGTTGAGCGCGAAGATGGATTGGAGCCTCCGACACATCCCATGGCCAGTTTGTTGTCCCTTGCGACATTTGCCTGGCTTGACCCTTTGGTCATGAAGGGCTATCGTCAACCCCTGGAGCTTGCGGATGTTTGGAACCTGACTCCCTCTCAGAAGGCTTCGCACGTGCTCACAGACTTCCGCAAGAGACAAATGAAAGGATCTTTGGCATGGAAGCTGATTCGGTTCTTCATGGGCACACTTCTAAAGCAGGGTGCCTGGACAATCTTCGCTAATCTATTCGTTTTCATGCCTAGTCTGCTCCTCAAGGCCATCCTTGAGTACGTGGAAGATCCCCGGTCGACCACGCCCAATGCGGCTTGGTTGTTCGCTATTCTGCTTTTCTGTTGCGCCGCGGTTCAAGGTGTGGCAGATGGACAATCTTTATTCATTGGTCGTAAGATGGGTGTAAAAGTCCGTGCGATCATTATTGGTGAAATCTATGCCAAAGCTCTTCGCCGCAAGGCTGGCGCTTCATTAGAGGCTACCAAAAAAGAAGATCCAATCTTACCCCAAGATAAGAAAAGAAAGCTCTTTTCCTTTGGCCGCAAGAAGAAGAAGGCTGCGAATGGAAATGATGCCGAGGCTGGCAAAAAGCCAGACACAGAAGCGCAGGAACCTACACAAGCCAATGTTGGCACAATTATCAACTTGATGGCGATCGATTCGTTCAAGGTAAGCGAGGTTGGCGCCTATCTCCACTTCTTGTGGGCTAGTGTGCCAGTGCAGATCATAATGGCGATTACTTTGCTTTACCACATCATGGGTTTCAGCTCATTTGCCGGTATCGTCCTGATGGCTCTCATGCTGCCTATCAACCTTTTCATTGCCCGTCAGTTCAACAAGGTCCAAAACCAGATTTTGAAGGGCACTGATGCCCGTATTCACGCCACCAACGAAGTCCTCCAAAACATCCGCATCATCAAGTACTTTGCTTGGGAACAGCGATTCCAGGACATTGTCGGCGAGAAGCGTAGGACCGAACTAAAAGCCCTACGCAGGCGTTACATCCTCTGGTCCTCCGCCGCAACCGTTTGGTACGGCACGCCTATTCTAATCACGTTCATGTCCTTCTTCTTGTACACCGTGGTCGAGAAGAAACAATTGACCCCTTCAATCGCTTTCCCTGCCTTGTCCATGTTCTCTTTGCTGCGTGTGCCCTTGGACCAGCTCGCCGATATGGTGGCCCACGTCCAGGAATGTAAAGTTTCCCTAGACCGTGTGGACAAGTACCTGAACGAGGAGGAAACGGGCAAATACGATCAACTCCGTGATAGTACTACCGCAGGAACACCTGCCAAAATTGGTCTTGAAAAGGCAACGCTATCCTGGAACAGCGCTACTGCTGAGTCTCAAGATACCGAAGCCGAAGCCGACTTGGATGCTTTCCGTTTGATCAATGTCGACGTTGAATTCCTTGCCGGCAAGCTTAATATCATTGTTGGACCCACTGGATCTGGAAAGACGTCTCTGCTCATGGCTTTGCTCGGAGAAATGAAACTTCTCGAGGGTCGTGTTCATCTCCCCGGTGGAATGTCCAACAGGGCAGACCTCCCAGTGGACCCTGAAACTGGTCTGGTTGACAGCATTGCTTACTGTGCCCAGGAAGCGTGGTTGGTCAACGACACCATAAAGGAAAACATCATCTTCGCCTCTCCCTATAACGAGCGTCGCTACCGTGCAGTGCTCAAGGCATGCGCTCTGGAACGTGACCTTGCTATCCTTGATGCTGGTGATCAGACTCTTGTTGGCGAGAAGGGCATCAGTTTATCTGGTGGCCAGAAGCAGCGAATATCCCTTGCCCGCGCCGTCTACAGCAGTGGCCGCCACTTGCTGCTAGATGACTGTCTCTCTGCTGTTGACGCTCATACGGCCAAGCACATCTTCCGTGAAGCTCTTACCGGTCCTCTGATGTTGAACCGCACATGTATTTTGGTAACACATAACGTGGCCTTGACTGTACCCGAATCGGATCACGTTGTGGTACTTGAGAACGGCAGAATTTCCGCACAGGGTCGACCCAACGATGTCGCCGCTACTGGTGCATTAGGCGATGAGTTCCTCAAGTCTCGACCCGATTCGCGGTCCGGCTCCCGTGGACACTCCCGTGTCCCATCGGACCATGAATCCGAGGATGAAGATTTGAACGGCACTCCGAATGGAAAGCAAGAAGACAAGGCCAAGCTCTCCGAATCTAAGGCTACTGGTAGTATCAAGTGGTCAACCGTCAGTATGTACCTCCGCGCCATGGGCCCGTGGTACTATTGGATCGGTGCTGTTTTTGTATTCTGCTTGCAGCAATTGGGTTCTGTTTCTACCAACCTCTGGATTAGACAGTGGGCAAATTCTTACAATACCTCCAAGGTTGGGACTGAGGATGTCGGGCAGTACGCCGCCGCAGCCCACCTCAAGCCCCCTACTTTCAACGTTGGAAGTGTTGGGCGCGTGAGCAGCTGGAGCCTGCCCCAACTTGGCGCAAACTCTGCTACCCAGGCTGATGGTGAGGTGAACGTGGCTTATTACTTGAGTGTCTATGCACTCCTGGGATTCCTCTACATCGCAATCTCTTTGTCTCGGGAAGCTGTTTTGTTCTGGGGTTCGCTCCATGCGTCATGGAAGATCCATGATCGCCTTCTTCGGACGGTCATGTACGCCAAGTTCCGATTCTTTGACTCCACGCCTCTTGGACAACTGATGAACCGGTTCTCCAAGGACGTTGAGTCTGTCGACCAGGAGGTTGCTCCTGTTGCTATCGGCATGCTCCACAGTCTGGCATCTGTAATTATGATTGTCATTCTGATCTCATGGATCACACCAGGATTCTTAATTGCTGGTGTGTTCATCACTCTGGTGTACACCGCCCTCGGTGCCGTCTATCTGAACTCTTCCCGAGACCTCAAGCGCCTGGAATCTGTGCAGCGCAGTCCGCTGTACCAGCAGTTCGGTGAGACCCTGAACGGTATCGTCACGATTCGTGCATACGGTGATGGTCCTCGCTTCATGGTCGACAATTACCGCCGCATCAATGCCTACAATCGGCCGCACATCTACCTCTGGGCTAGCAACCGCTGGCTCGCTCTCCGTGTCGACTGGACCGGTGCTCTAGTCTCTTTCTTCGCGGCTACCTTTGTGTTGCTGAACGTTGGAACGATCGATGCAGGTGCCGCGGGTCTTTCACTGACCTACGCCGTTACATTCACAGAGAACGTCCTCTGGCTTGTGCGTCTGTACTCCGAGGTCCAGCAAAACATGAACTCTGTCGAGCGTGTAAGAGAATATCTTGATGTCGACCAGGAAGCAGCTCCTATCATCGAAGAATCACGGCCCGGGTCTGATTGGCCCAGTCAAGGTGCGGTCGAGTTCAACAACTACACTACACGATACCGGCCCGATCTGGACCCGGTTCTCAAGGAGGTTTCGTTCTCTATAAAGGCTGGCGAAAAGGTCGGCATTGTGGGTCGCACGGGTGCTGGCAAGAGTTCTCTCGCGCTGGCTCTCTTCCGCGGTCTCGAAGCCGAGAAGGGTCAGATCATCATCGACGGTATTGACATCGGGTCAATCGGCCTACGGGACCTGCGCGAGTCAATCACCATTGTTCCCCAGGATCCGACCCTGTTCACCGGAACCCTCCGCAGCAACCTCGATCCATTCGGTCTCTTCAGCGACGAGCAGATCTTCACAGCCATCCGTCGCGTGCACCTAATCGGATCCAGCGCCTCAGGCACAGCAACCCCCCACAACCGCAAGCAGTCTCACCGCAACAGAAAGCAACGCCAACGGCAACGGCAACGGCGTGAGCAGCAGCGCAGTGACAATAGTCGACAATAAAAACGTCTTCAACAACCTCGACAGCCAAGTCTCAGAGTCCGGCTCCAACCTCTCCCAAGGCCAACGCCAGCTCCTCTGTCTAGCTCGCGCCCTGCTCAAGAACCCCCGTGTCTTGATGATGGACGAAGCCACCGCATCCATCGACTACGCCACCGATGCCAAGATCCAAGAGACCCTCCGCGAACTCAGCAACAGCACAATCATCACAATTGCACACCGTCTGCAGACCATCATCGATTACGACAAAGTCCTTGTTCTCGACCACGGCCGCGTTATCGAGTACGATCACCCCTGGAACCTCATCAACAAAGAAGACGGCCTCTTCCGCGGTATGTGCGATAACAGCGGGAACATGGATGTTCTTCTAGATGGGGCTCAGCGCGCTTGGACGCAAAAGCGTCTTGTTGATGATCGTTAAGCAACGGCGCCTGCTGTTGTTCCCATTTCCTTTATTTTACCTATCTTATAGAATCTCTCGCGTACATATCCATTGTTACCTTTGTTTATTACCTATCATCGGTTTCCCCTCGCTCATTCCTCAGGACCGGGATGCAAAAAAGAGAAAAAGGAGAGAGACATCAATGTAATCATCATTTTTATGACCTAGAGGCTTTATCATCATTACTTTGCCTTTTTGCCCTTTTTCTGCTACATTGCGTGTCCATGCATTGCTATCACACCTTTATCTTTTCCGGGGTTCTTGTAAGCTTACATTTAGTCCATCGTCGAATGACGTATGTCAGAATCTATGCTTCTGATAGCGAATGAGAATGTTTGCGATACTGCTTCAAGTTGTATAGATCCCTTTTTTCAAATATAATATCAGCTCGACAAGCTAAGTGATCGTTATGTGCGAGGTTCATTACGGAGGCTCAAGGCAGTTTCTTTGTGTAGCACTTCTCGAAGTATTTGTATCGAGAACAAAATTAAGCCTAAAGTGACATTTTGAAACTGCGAAGTACTCTCAACCGATAACATCCATTTGGAGATGATCCCAGAGAACAGAATGAGGTATCTTCAATCTGAATATGTCCGCCCATATTCAATACCCAAGCTACTTCTTCGCCAGCAAGTCCCACGAAGTACCTAGCATTTCATCCCACCGACATAGATGTCGTCTTCGATATTCCCTCCATCCAATTGACATTCTCATTCCTTGTCGCAAGTCGAGGCGGGAAGGTGATAGCGTGGTTCCAGTTGAATCACGACGTTTGGACGAGTCATCGCCAGGATTGACCGAGTCATTCAGGATATACCTCGGAGCCCTGATTCCAGAGGTAGTATCCCCCCCATCTTTCCCGAACTCCATCAATCGTTAGAAATCCAATGTCGAAGATGGGGTCAATTCAGTGGAGAGTGGAGATGGATTGCCCATGCCCCAAGCCTCACAGTAATGAACCAACCAACCGACTAAGTGGAGAAAGAGCAGAGCTCGAGCTCCCAAGGTTGGGGTATCCCATGCAAAATCGCAGAAAATCGCATTGAGTGAGATAAGTCTTTTAACAGGAAACCAATCCAACAGTCACATATCGCATTCTCATTTAGCGCGGATCCAATTCCAAACGGTAAAGCAGCACATGATCGCAGCCGAAACAACTAAGAATCCAAATAGCGGGCAGCAGATCTGGTAGTCGTCCGATGCAAATGTGACGACGACCGACTCTTTCAGACGTAACTGAGACTGGGACTGCCTCAGTTTTGTGTTCTGGGTTGAGTGCCAATCCGGCTGTGGTAGTGTCGAAGCAACCGTACCGATCGCAGTATCCATATCCGTATCCGGTGATTTGCGAAGCTCCGTATTCGTCTTCATTTTATGATTTTTTGATTTCGGCTTCGGGTTAGATGGTGATCGGTTTGATGAGGGTACAAAACCTGCTTCGCGCATGGCTGTCTCTTTCAACATTGCCGCGATTTCATCTTGGTCCGGTAGGGTTTCTGGGAAGTAGTATCGGTTATTGTAGGTAGTATTTGTTGACGCATGAGATTTGAATGCGATTGAGTTTTCGTAGGGAGTTGGAAGTGCGAGGATTTGGAGTGAGTGCAATATGAAGAGTAGGGCTAGTTGGGCTAGTTTGCAAGCCATCTTCGGAAATGGTGATGTGATATATGATACTGATCACGGGTGGGTGCAGGTGGGGATATGATAGCATCGACAGGCTTTCTGGGGTCTTCAAGCTCTGTGCTCCGTAGGAGAGGATATGAATATATAGAAGAATAAGTGAGTGTGAGAGAGAGAGGGGGGGGCGGAAATAAGAGAGATAGTAGAGCACGTGGAGTCGCTGGCGCTGGAGTCGCATTCGGATTCGGAAAGGTAAAACATGAGACACTTTATGATACTTTCTCAGTAGTTAGACTATAATAGTGTAATTGAGCATTAATTGTATACTATGATAGTGTAATTAAGTATTAATTGTATAACTAGTTACTATAGTAGTATAATTGAGTATAACTAATTGAGTATTACTTAGGCTAGGTAGTTGAGGGTGAGAGGTGCCATTTCCGGCGCCCCGCTACGCTGAACTGCTGCCTGTGACCGCCTGCCCATCTCCCTCTTTCCCCTTCCCTTCCGGGTATAGTGCCTTCCTGCTAACCCCATTCGGGGTTAGTGTCGGCTCTTCCCGCTTTGAGCGCTATCTATAAAGGGCCCGAGGACAGGTTCTCCTCTTTTACTTAGTTTTTCTTCTTCCCTCCAGACTTGATCACTTCAGAACACGATACTTCTCCTTTGGAGGTCTGATTGTCACAGAATGCCCATTCATATATTACCATGTAGGTATATTTGGTCCAAATGATCCTGCATGTGCAAAATATCCATGGATGTTCTAAACCGGCAGTGTCAGTAAAATGCTATAATTAGTATGCAGTTCATAACTCTCTTTCTTGGCAAAATCATCTTAGTGGATATCTCATTAATCAGAGATACTGAGCTTAGTACATCCTTAGTTACAGCGCATGCTAGAGATTGATTGATAACCATTTGCTGGTTTGGCCGCTGTTGCTGTTCCGTGAGCAAATAGAGACCACGAGATAATCTGTTAAGTCTAACTGACAATAGGAATGACCTAGTGCACTATTTGCGGTATAACTAATAACTATCAGGTTTACAACCCAAATTATTCCTTTTGTTTTCTTTTACAAAATATTCAAGATGCTAGACTGGGATCTTGGTGTATATACTAACTATGAAATGAGTTCAAATGTGAATCTTTTAGCTGCTGCAGTATTCGGATACATAACACATAGCAATGAACTCTCGCTCATACCGAGGGGGTAGAATATGGCACAGGTAATCACTCCAATCCTTGCCTCGGTGGAAGTTCTTGTATGCTCTAAAGTATTCCCACCACTCCGGATACCAGCCAGCAAACTCCCAGTCTAGGATAGCAGTAACCCGGTAATCATTGCTTTCATCCACAAGAATATTCCGAGAGGAGAAATCAGAATGGGTGAAGACAATTTCATGGCCATCTGTCAGTGCATGTTCTGCATAGTATCTGAGTGGGGCCGACAGTCCTGAACTGAGGTCGTTTAGAATCCACTGATTGAATTCCTGCTCAGAGTCAAAGGGTCCACCATAGATAGGTCCCCACTTGCCCATTGAGACAGTACCGCGATCAATAGCACCGATATAATTGCCTTTGAGGTTTCGGAGTTGGGAGAGATAGCCACGGAGTTGCTCAGCAATTGATTGTTTCTGGCTAGGACTCAAGGTGTCCCAAACTTCGTCTAGTGGCTTACCAGGCATATAGTCCATAACAATGCCAACCACTTTATCATTCTCCCAACGAATATCATGAACTTTTGGCACTGGGATTGTAGTATTTTCAGCGATAAACCGAAGAGTTGGAGCTTCATGGACTGGGATATCATCGGCTTTTTTCACCACAAGATATTCGCTGATTCGAACAATCTTGCGGCGATGAAAGGTATAGAGTACCTCTCCTTCGTCATCTGTGACCTTGGACCTAGCTTCTGCCTCTTCGGCTTTGATTTGTTCTTGATTCAAGATTCGGTGCATAAGTTCGGCTTTCAATGCAGCTTTGTCTTTAGAAAGGGCCTTGGTCGTAGGTGCAGCTTTGTCTTTAGGAAGGGGCTGGGGTGCAGCTTCGTCCTTTGTCTGAGTCCTCACTTCATTCAGGGCTTCAGTATGATTTCTTGCATTGTCGCTTGTCTGATTATTATCTTCGGCGATAATATGGTCTGCTTCTGGAGCATTTTCTTGGTTCATAGCTTCGTTCTTCTGTAGGGTCTGTGAAATTAAGTCTTGATTCTTGTGAGCAGTCGAGAATAACTAGTTAGTTAAGTTACCTTGTCCAGGGGTGTATGACTAAGCAAAATAGGCGCTCACCATTGTAAGGAACAAGAATGATAAAGGGCCCGAAGGCCATTGATGATATTGATTGGTTAAGGATGGTCGGAGAGAGAGAATAGTAACTCGGGAAGTCTTGATTGGAACCCCACTATACTGCCATAACACACCGTCTTCCAACTCCGTCACACCATACACCATACGACTTTAACCCCGCAATCAATCAGAATCCCTCACTAAGGGTATCAGCATCCGTCTTCCTCGGTTTTGAAGGAAGGAAGGTGAAGAACATGGTCAAACCATAATGGGTGAAAATTTAATAGGAAAGGACACCGAAAATGAGAGGAACAGGAAGTGGGAGATGGCATACAAGGCCCGGATGAGGCAGATTGTCCCTGGTCTCTTTCTTGGGAATGTTGAGGCATCACACAAAGGGGACCTGCTTCAAAAAAACCGTATCAACGCAATTGTGTCTCTTACTACTACTCGATGGGTATGGTGGAGCTCTACTACAAGATCGGCAGGCATTCCAGAGCCTCGTCACAGATGGGTTCAGTGTGCAGACTCGTCAACGCAAGACCTCCTTGCTCATATGAGCGATATTTGCGACTTTATCGACCAAATGGCATCTCCTGCTCTTTGCTTATTGTCCTCTTTACCTATCGATGCTATGAATGATGAGCAATACGATATAACTTCGGAGGCGATATTAATCCACTGTGATCTTGGCATATCACGCTCGCCAACAATCATCATCGCCTATCTTATGCGCAAACTCCGCATCCCGAAAGTGGACGTATTGAATCTTATCCAATTCAAACAAAAAGTCAAACCGAGCCCGAATTTCACCCGTCAACTTCAAGTTTGGGAGGAGGTTGGATATCAAGTATGGGATAATGAAGATAGGACTATCCCGAAAGCGCCATACAAAGCGTTTCTGGAAGATCGAGATGCCCTTTTGAAAAAGAAGGGACTGACCGGGAATGAGCCGCTCGCACCCCTCACCCTTTAACATGACTGTGCGGGTTGAATACAGCAATATTGCGTTGAGTGTCGTTGGCATGCCAATGATACTCGACGCCGCAACAGTCATATAGCTCGTGGGTAAATAGAAGACTATCACTTCCTTATCGACCAGCGTGCCAATAACTTGCGCCTTGTCTGAAATGGTGTATGATTGGATGGTTTGATAGCACTTGATTTGGGGTACCTAGGTATACTTGTGAATGTAGTTGGAGTATGTGGGATGAAGTTATTTGTGTTGGGGTAGATATCTCTGCCAATAAAGAGGTAGATCTTGGCGCTGATAATCATCAACAAGTCCGTGGTTCTGCTTTGGGGTAACAATCATCTTAGAAACGGATATATCGTTAAGAAGAATGAGTGGTTGACCACACAAGACACATCCCATGACAGATACACTGCACCTGAGGAAATAAGTACTAAAGGTTATGAAACATGATATATTCCGCAGTCTAAAACTAACAAGCTATTATGGTATACCGTTGTACCTCAGACTAGCTTTCACTTCAACATTAAACCAGCCTTTGCGGGCATCAAGGCTCCAGGCGGAGGAGCGTTCTTACTCTTGAATTCATCGCAAACCTGTTCCATCGTCACAAATTCAACACCTTCGTGCTTTTTGAAATGTTCAATGAGCCTGTCAAAGGTTAGTCATGCTCCGCACACAGTTATCATCACAACACACCTTTCATGCATCAACAGCACATGAGGCCTTCCCGAAACATCCGGGTGGATAGTAATCGGGAAGATAAACTCATCATACTCGCGGTAGAAGTAGTCAAAATGGTCGCGCCAGATATCCTCCACATCCCGCGGGTTGACAAAGCCATGGCTATTAGGCGCATTCTTGATGAACATCATCGGCGGTAGATCATCAATGTACCAGTTGGACGGGATTTCAACAAGTCCTGTTTGAGATCCATGCTCAAGAGGCTTCATCCAAGTCTCAGCTTTCTGCTTGTAATCGATCTTAGTCCAGCTGTCGCCGGTTCGGAGGTAGTAAGCCTGACAGTCCTCGTGGCTCATGCTGTGATCGTACTCGATGCCGTAGTCGAGGAGAAGCTGGGCTCCTTCTTTGCTAGTTTCCCACCTATTTGTATTTAATTAGCACCATTGATGAATCACCTATCGAAGAGAGTCGTACCAGGGTGCCACGCTTCCTCGTGGAGGCTTTCCGGCGAACTCGGTCAACATCCGGTATGTTTTGTCGAGCACATCACGCTGTTGATCTAGAGACATATCTGTTGGGTTCTCGTGAGAATATCCGTGTAGGCCGATCTCATGGCCTGCGTCACGGACGGCGGCCATGTCGTCCGGGAAGGTGTCGAGGGAGTGGCCGGGGATGAACCATGTTGTTTTGATGTCATATTTCTTAAACAGCTTCAACAATCGTTGGGTTCCAATGGTCCCTGCCCAGTATCCTATCTCGTAGTTAGTTAGGGAGCACAATTCCAGAGAGAAAACACTGAAACCTACCCCTGCTGATATCGTTCGTGGAATCCTCTCCACCATACGAGCCTAGCCAGCCGGCAATAGCATCGACATCCACACCATAGGTAATAAGAACTCGCTTTGGTGCCATTTGGAATGAACGGGTGTTATAATTTGAACTTGGTCGATTACCAGGAGAAGTTCGGCTTTAAAACAAGTGAATGCGGGGAAGGTGAACCCCTCACCTGTTGATCACCCACCGACATCATTTACTGACTGACTGACTGACTGACTGATTGACTGATTGACTAATTGACTGGTTTACACAACGATTTACATTTCTTAATTTATCACACTCGTTATCTCTGCCCTTAATGAACTCCATCCACAAATGCCGAGGTCTCTCCAACACAATTGGGGTTATTTTGGGGTAGACAGTCATTGTCTCCAGTAAGACAACGAGACCCAGTTTAATGGACTCCAAGATATATAATATTTTATATAATATAGTGTTGGAGAAAGGCACGATGGATTAGAAAAAAAGATTACGATAACCATGGGGGTTGCTCATAAACTGCAACATCCCCCAAAGATACTATTCAAGACACTATTCAGGGTATATTCAACGGCGTCGAAGAGTGACCATGTCAGTTCTTTTCACAAGCATTTCAGAGTAAGTGTTTCCATGTTTGGTAATTTCATCATATATTGACTGTTGTTATAGGAGCAACCCCGTCAAGCCGGGCGATGCAGAAGCCCTCCTCAAGCCCTTCGGTCTGACCATCGACCCAGCCGAGGCACAGGATTTCCACACCCTTCTCGCTGCAGTCCACGACTGCGCTGAAACCGTAGCTGCATTACCAGACTATCAACTAGTCCCCGATCAGACTAAATATCCACGCGAGAATGTACGCCGACCAAGCGAAAAAGAACAAGTTTTCGGCCAAGCATGGGCACACCGATTTCTTATCCGGGGTAATCCCCAGGGCGGGCCTCTAGCAGGTAAATCCATCAGTTTGAAAGATGTCATTGCGGTTGCCGGCGTACCGCAGCTTCTGGGAAGCGATATCATTCCTTCTTGGACCCCGACTACGGATGCGACAGTTGTAACACGATTGCTTGAGGCGGGCGCAGATATCCATGGGACGTCGACTTGTGAAAATATGTGCCACTCCACGTCTTCCTATACCAGTGCCCAGGGTACGGTGGAAAATCCAAATGCTCAGGGTTATTCGGCGGGCGGGAGTACCTGTGGCGGTGCAGCGCTGGTCGCCGCCGGTATAGTGGACATTACCATTGGTGGTGACCAGGGTGGTAGTATACGCGTGCCCGCATCGTTTTGTGGATGTAAGATGTCTTTATTACTTGAGGATAAATGTGTCATGAGCTGACTTGCTTCCAGGTGTTGGGCTTAAACCCACTCATGGCCGCGTTCCCTTCACTGGGATTGCTAGCGGCGATGCCATGAATGACCACGCTGGCCCACTATCCCGAACAACACTTGAGACTGCAGCATGCTTAGATGTTATCAGTGGTTATGACGGCATCGATGATCGGGCTGTCGGTAGCTCAAAGCCAGGCTCTACTAGATTCGCAGAGACTCTCCAGCAGGATCCAAACACACTTGCCGGCTTCAAGGTCGGCATTCTTGTTGAAGGGTTTGAGCACAGCGCGGTAGACCCAAATGTCAAGGGCGCAGTGTTGGCTGCTACCCAAAAATTCAAAGATCTGGGCGCAACAATCGAGGAAGTATCTCTACCAGAGCATTTGCAAGGGCCCGCGATCTGGACTATCCAGCAGCGAATTGCCGGGGCGCAGACTCTTCTGGGCCAGAACACAGGCCGGAGAGGGCTTTGCATGACTGACATGGAGCGCGCACGGCTTCCATGGACTGATGATGGCTTCCAGAGAGCGTTCCCGTCCACAAAGAACGTTATCATTAACGGTCTATATCTAATGCAACAATTCCCTGATCTCTACGGAAAAACTGTCAATGTCGGAAGACTACTCAGTGACAAGTACGAAACGCTGTTTGAGAAGTATGATATTCTGGTAATGCCTACAACGCCGGTTGTTGCCCCTCGACATGGAAAGCGAGAACTCCCGCTGGATTCCCTCAAGCCTAGTATGGGTCTTACAATCAATACTGCCATATTCAACGTGACGGGTCACCCGGCACTGTCCATACCCGTTGGGTTTGCTCCAGCAAAGGAAGATAACCAGATTATGCTGCCAGTTGGGATGCAGATTGTTGGTGGGTTGTGGCAGGAAGAGAAGATTCTGCGGGCTGGACATGTTTGGGATACTCATTTTGACTGGAAGAAGATGTATTACTCTACAGATGAGAACTAGATACCAATTTGCATATTTCGTATTCAAGCATTAGAATTGTGTTATCGATATCCTGTCATCTCAACCTGTATCTAAACCGTTATATATCCGCCATCAACCACCATGGCATGGCCCTGAACAAACGATGCCTGTGTTGAACATAAGAAAAGAATTGCATCAGCCACTTCTGCCGGTTGACCCATTCTCTTCATTGGTGCGGTCTCCACTGCTGGCATGATGGCCTCACGGACCTCAGGCTTCTCCATTACCAGTGGGGTTTCAATAACACCAGGGCAGACACAGTTGACCCGAATCCCATCTTTGGAATAGTCGATCGCGTCTGCACGTGTCATTGCAATGACGGCAGCCTTCGAGGCACAATATGCAGCTATCACAAACTCAGTAATGCGTTTCACGGGTAGAAAGAAAGTACCTACGAGCACCCGGGCGGCTGACAATTCCAAGTTGGCTGGAAACATTTACCACAGCACCACGTTGAGGTGGACGATTAGAATCATGACTAGGGAGTCCACTTTGTGTGACCATCTGCCTAAGCTCTGCTCGAGATGAGAGCCAGCAGCCTCGGTAGTTGATGTTATTGACGCGGTCGAATTCCTCAAGCGACATCTCTGCCGATCGTAGAGGCTTTCCAAGGACTCCTGCACAGTTCACGGCATAGTCTACTCGTCCGAATTCTTGTACAACCGCATTAATGAATGCATCCGCGAATTGGTCGTCTGCCACGTCCCCGGCCATTACTAGAAGCCGTACGTTTGGATATGTTGAGGTGACGCCTTTTGCCGTTTGTTGCAGGGACTCTTCATTCAGATCTGTGATAGCAATTCGGCTACAACCAGCTGCAGCGAACGCTTTTGTAGTTGCGGCACCGATTCCTGTGTGTTATGTGAGTGACGGATATTAATGTTGCGGGTAAGCAGCTTGGTTTACCAGTTCCACCTGCACCAGTCACCACTGCAACACCAGGAAAGATATTTAGGAGTGATTGGGCCATTTTAATATGATAAAACTATAAAGCAATCTGAATGATATGAATATATGTGAATATATATGTGAATATATCTGAATGTGAACGATGCAAGTTCTATACCTCTCCAAATGGCCCCACCCTTATCTCTTATCGCGGGCCGACAATCCCGGCGGGCCCCGAGTTGGAGGAGTTGGGGTCGAATTTCCCACTTCGACATCCACTCTGTTCAACCCCCAGGTCTCTTTTTCTCCAAACCAGTTCTCCATATCCCCCCAATGTTTCAATGTCCCAATCACCCCAGCCGCACAGGGGTGCTCGTGGAGCAAGGGCACGTATATGTATACATTGCGGTCGGAGTTTCCGACGGACTGAACATTTGGAGCGACACATTCGCACCCGTAAGCAATTCCGCAATTTCCGGGGAGATCCCCGCAGCTAATGTTATCCCGGTAAACTAGATACCAAGGAGAAGCCGTTTATTTGCTTCTGTGGGGCAGCCTTTACTAGAAGGGATCTATTGAAGCGTCACACACGCATCTCACATCAAGATGGGCTGACCTCGCCGACGCCGCCCGAGCCAACGACCAAGTCGGATTTCCCGCCGACGCATCATCCTGCATCCATCCCGCCGCAATATGATACACCAACTAGGCCCGTACCCGTGGAATCCCTTGCAGGATCATCGGTTGTGCACCAATGGGCTGGGGCACAGAACACGCCATATTTAGATCCAAATCACAATGCCGGCATGCTTCCTGCTCCTACTGCAGGGGCTCCAAACCCAGCTATTAACCCGCATACGGGCATGGTGCACGATCCGGATATGCTTCAAGCTGCCCAGCTGCTTCTTCCAGGCGATTACCGACCTACAGGTACGTTTTTCATAGCTGTTCAAGTATATACCACTTCCTAATGCCCCGTGCAATATGAATACCCTTCTCTCTCGTAAACGGTCTTTCGCATCGACTACCATTCTTGGAAATCTATTGATCTGACACAAAAACCAGGACAACCGATGCCCTACTTACCCGAAGATCTGAATCATTTCCAGGAATTCACCCATTTCTTGGATTCGATTGGATTGCCCGGGGAATGGGTTCCCAGCGAAGGTGAAACATCTCAGACACAAGAGGTTAACCTGGAAGACGTAAGAGAGACAGGTCCACACTCCCAAGAGCACCATGAGCGGTCAAGACGAAGCGGAGAAGGTTCTCGAGGAGACTCACCATTCAGATCCTGGCTTCCATCTGTGCCGAGGGGCGACCAAAGCCTTGGCACCCTGTCTGATTCAGGTAACTACTACCTTACAATGCGACTTCTCTAGATTACTGATATTATTCCAGAACCACCCCAAAGCTCAAAGAGGACATCACGATTCAATGTCACTGAAGACCAGCGCTTTCGGCTTGCGGCATCTCTCGAAGAGTTTCGCCATGTCATTCCGGATTTCGTATTACCGTCTCGTCACACATTGACTCGGTACCTCACTTCCTATTTCGAAGGATTCCACCCACATCTTCCGTTTATGCATATCCCGACTTTTCATATCAATGAACATGCCCCCGAGGTGGTTCTTGCTATCATGACGATCGGAGCCCAGTACAGATTTGAGCACCGCAACGCAGAAAGAATATTCCATGTTTCCAAAGCAGTTTTATTTGAACGGATGTCTAGAGAACCTCGTTTCCCGGCTAAGCCAAGTTACAATCCAGGCTCTCAAGTTCCGCTAGGAATATCTCCTTACTCTAACTTTGGTGATCAATCCCTCACACAGCCGCAGGTAACAGCGGAAAGAACTGCTGTTTGGAAGCAGATCGAAATCACTCGTTGTCTCCTTCTTCTGATGGGCTACTCTACGTGGGAATGCGCGAGACTGGTCCAAGAAGCATTCCATCTTCAGGGCTTGTTGGTTCGGCATCTCCGCGAGGCTGGTTTGACAGAAGACACAGCACGCTCTGATCCACGCGCACCGCTCGACTGGTACGAATGGGCGGACCAAGAATCGGGGCGACGCACGAAGTTGATTGCGTTCTGCTTTATCCATGTTCACAGCATCGCATATAATGCCTATCCATCTTTGCGCAGCAATGAGATACACTTGCGTCTCCCATGTTCTACTGTCGAATGGAACGCTAGCACCGCTGCGGAGTGGGAAGCAGCCCAGCGAGAACGAGGTCCCCAGCAGTTGTTCTTCCAGGACGCATTGACCCTCCTCTTACAAAAGTCCCGATCGGCAAAACCACTAGACCCCATCCCGGCTCCACTGGGTAACTATATCCTCTTGCACGGACTCCTGCAACGCATCCACCTCGTGAGCGAGCTATCATTACCGAACGGCAACCACTCCACAACCCTCCCAACAGAGGAACTGAATAAACTAGAGTAAGTACCCTACACACAGGTCTTCCCTAGACCCACCTCTAACCATTTAATTCACAGGCGAGCCCTCCGCTCCTGGACCTCCGTGTGGCAACAGGCCCCAGAATCCAGTCTAGACCCACACAATGCAAATGGACCAATCCCATTCACCTCCAGTGCTTTCCTAGGACTCGCCTATGTCCGCCTATCTCTAAATCTCGGTCCTCATCGCCGCCTTGAGACCCGCGACCCGATAATAATAGCTAGCGCACTTCGCCGCTCTCCACGCCCAGAACGAAGCTACCGTCTCATTCCGGCACTTATATACGCCGCTCATGCTCTCAGCATCCCCGTGCGCCTGGGAATAGACCACATTGCTCGCAGTCAAGCCTTTTTCTGGAGCGTGCGGCACTCGCTAGCTAGCATTGAATGTGCAGTGTTGCTGAGCAAATGGCTGTTTACCCTTGCGGAGGCGGGACCGGATCAGTCGTTGAGTGGCATGTTCATGCTCTGCCTACTCTCTGTGTGTTATTAGCTAACAATCATGACATAGAAAACGAAACTCGCATTCTACGGTGGACCCGCTGTATTATTGAAGAGGCGTATTCGTCTATTGATACGGATGACGGCGAGGCACCGCCAGATCTGGAACCGGCTTCTTTGGGATTGGCCGTTCTCAAGCTGTGGGCTAGGTTGTTTGGGACAAATACTCAATGGCCGTTTATTAATGTTCTCGGACAGAGCTTGGAAGAGTATATAACTATGCTTTGATGTTGATATTATGTCTTTGGCGTTTGTATATACTGAGGCTTACTGGAATATAATGTGTTCATGATCTCATGACAGCATCTACATCTCGTTCAAGAGTGAAATCTTACAGGTCGAATTCAATTACAGTTAGTAGTTACATAGTTAGTTACATAGTGATTCAAAGGCATGTTGTTATCCATGTATGCCTTTGAGTATGGCGCGTCGCTCTCTTTTTGTGCTTTTCTCTTTTCGCTTTCCCCTTTCTGTCAATTCAGCTTTCACCCACAAATCCCCCATATCCATCTTTCTCATGTTCTCGTTATCCCCATAATGCACCAGTTCCACCATTGAACCCACCCTCACCGGTAAGCCCAGGAAAGGAAAAGGCCTGGCAAAGTGACATCTGCCACCGATCTAGGAGAGGTCGACCAGTTGCCCTTCCATGGGAGGGGTTTCGACTTCCTCAACCATAGGAGTGGGCAAGACTTTGGCTGGGATCGGACTGCTGGCCGAATCGTTATCGCAAACAACGACAGTAAGTGGATCTTCCCCTAGACTCGCACCCCCAGCCCGGGAGTGATCATGCTCTTCAAAGGTCATCGGGTCTTTTTCGTGCGGAATAGGAAGGGTATCCTGTAATTCACTCGTAGCTTCGGCCAGATCAGCCCCGTAATGTGTAAGCAGGTCTTCAGTGGCCGGGGCAGCAGGCTGGGTTTTCTCTGTAGCCGGAACTTGCTGGCAGTCATCGTCGTCGTCAAAGTTGATTAATAGTCCTTCGACCGGGGCGGCGACGCTCGGTTTGACGGGCACAACATCTTTTTCAGGACGTTTCCCGCTAACTACAAGCCCAGTCTGACGATGATCATCCACCACGGCGTCACCGACGCTCGGTTTGACGGGCACAACATCTTTTTCAGGACGTTTCCCGCTAACTATGAGCCCAGTCCGACGATGATCATCCACCACGGCGTCACCGACGGTCGGTTTGACGGGCACAACATCTTTTTCAGGACGTTGCCCGCCAATTGTGAGCCCAGCCCGACGATAATCATCCAGCAAGGCGCCACCCTGTGCAAATGCCTGCCATCGGCTCACACCCTTGGCACACCGCATTGCTTCTTCGTCAGTAGTCGAGGTTGCGGGGTGGGTTGGAGCTCGGGGTCGTGACCGTCGTGTAATGGGACCGACCTTTTCGCCATGATCATCGTCACGGTCAGAATCATCCCGGTCGGATCCGGCGTCAAAGATTTGGGTTTTGCTGTCATTGCCCATACCACAGAAGCAATCATGAGCGTGAGGTGGGGAGCATACACAAATACAGGGCGTGTTGCAGCACCTGCGAATTTCTTGGCAGCGCTGTTTGCAAGATACCCAGTCATGCTCGGAACTAATGATGAAAGAGATCAGTATTTTGATGCATATAAATCGTGAATATTTTCCAATCTTACCCATGACATTTGCGGGGACATGGATGTCCACATGGCAAATACTTGCCACAAGGCTTGTTGCAACCGTCCGTAATAGTGTTCCAGTCCTTAAGAGCTAGAAGAAGTGATTAGATTTTCTCTTTTTCCATTGGCATTTTCAGGCATGGTGATAGGGACTCACTTTGGATGAGGGTTTCTTGATTGTGTCTTGTGCAATGCAGAGGCAGAGCGGGGCCAATACGGGGTTCTTGTTGATTCTCGGACATCACGTTAATAACCGAATGCCAGAAACCGCTGTGTTGGCTAACACACTGCGCATTGCCAAATATGTAAAGACCATACTTGGCACGGGACAAGGCAACACAGGCTCTGTTGTCCTGTGCGAGGAAGCCAATTCCTCGATGATCATTTGATCGAACAAGCGAGAGAATGACAATATCGTTCTCTTCTCCTTGGTATGAGTCGACAGTCAGTATGTTAATGTAGACCATGGAGAGGTTTTGATCCTGTGACTTCTTTCGCATGATCAATTTCCGTTGACCATTGTAGAACGTCAGGACAGTAATACTAGCTGGCGGGACGTTGTTCATCACAAGGTAGGCAAGAAGCTTAACTACCATTGATGCCTCAAAGTCATTCACCTTGGACGACAGACTGTCGTTGCTTTCGTGCGCCGTGTGATCGAAAAAGAAGGATCGTTTATCCCCCATACCAGGAACCAAGGGATGATCCTTAACCGACGGATGGTCACGAAGAATATCCCCATAGATCGGGGCCACGAGCCTTCTGATTTCTGGCACCATTCGTCTTTGCTCTTGGAGCATGGCATACGGCATTTCGTTTAGCATCAGACGTTCAAACATAGAGACATCGAGGTAAAAAGGATCACCGGTGAGTCCATACTCAGCGCATTGACCCTTGAGCTGCTGGTGATCACCAACTAGAATGAGATGCTGAAGTGAAGGAAGGCAAGCGACTGCAACTGGGGCCTCAAGTACTTCTGCTGCCTCCTCAATCAAGATGACACGGGGATTCAGACTCGAGACTAGTCCTCTGTATTTGCTCAGACCAGTGGTGGTCATCCCAATGATCTTTGCCTCCTGGAGAATACAGTAGTCACGTTCAAATCTACCAATTTGATAATTTGTAACGCAGCCTTGGTAAGTTTGAGCGAGGTCTTTCATTGGTTTTCCCAGGTTCTCGATCAGCTGCTCACGCAAGTAGTCATAAACCGCACCGCGATGTCTCTTGTGAATCTTGTACAAGTCCTTCTCTGTGAGCAGTTTTTTAACATTTGTCCGAGACATTCTGGCGCTGCTGGAGCTGCAAAGACCAGGCGACAATGGAAAAAAGGTGCGTAGAGTTTTGACCAGTCCTCTTCATATTTTCCATGTTCAACTTCGGTCTCCTTCAGCTGCTCATACTCCAGGTCAATGTCATCATCAACGAACCCGAAATCGCCGGCGTATTCGTAGTCGAACTCCCTCACGGAGTCTGCAAGCCAAGCCGCCAAAGGATCGGCATTTGCAGGTGTGTTGGATTGCTGCCACTTATTTGCGGTTTCTTGCAAGGAATCAATCTGGTCTTGGCTCAAAAGATTATGGTCCAAGAATAGAGATGCTGCAAGTGGTTTGCTGTTTGATGGTGCAAGTGGTTCTAGGAGCTTCTCAATCTCGACCCCGAGTTTTTCCAGTTTTTTTTCATTGGAGTCATCAAACCACCGTCAATTGTTAATGGAACCTGGGTTTGTCTGATCTCGAAAGGGGTGCGCCTGCGGATTTCAGGATCAGAGGTTCTTCCACCCAACCGGACGAAGTTCTTCTCAAACACCGAAATATGCTTTATCAGTTGATCAAGAGCATGGTTAGTTTGAGCAGCAATAATGATCGGTGGGTCCTTTGGATCTTTGTTTGAGAGCATCATTCTTAGGGCAGCTATGGAGGTAAAGGTCTTGCCTGTTCCAGGAGGGCCCTGAATGATGGCCAGCCTTTTAGTCAACATTCGATTCAACGCTGACCATTGGGATTCATCCAGCTTTCCCATTGGGTGGGAGGGCCATCGCTTGAGGATGTCGTATTTTCTGGTGACATCGAGTGTAGAGGATTCACACAATGGCGTGAAGTCCATGGATGGCGCGGTGTTAATGTATTCCGGTGCATCAATGTCTTTTGCTAGGCTGCAGATTTGTTCGTTCAACGGGAAACTAGATAAGGTTAGATCATTGTTTCAATTTCAATAACGAACGGGCAAGACTGATTTGTTCCCCAACCTTTCTTTTGACAACTTTTGCAATGCTGTTAGGGTGTGTCGATTTGCCTCAAAGTATCCCGTTCGAGCCTCAACCATGATCCATTCTTGTCTAGTAAGATAAAAGTCAATATCATTATATTTCGCGCAACCGCACAGCCATGTTATCACTTACTGTGGATCAACCTCGATATCGCCAGACGAGGCCAAAAAGATATCGACCTCTGGAGGGTTCTTCTCAACCCCTTCCAGCAACCGACAGGCTACGACGGCGACAACACATTTGCTCGAGAATGCATTGAGCTTAGGGGTTAGGGCGACAATTGTTCCAGGAGTAAGACGGTTGGAGTATGCCCAGGAAATGTTCTTGCCCGCGCGGCGAGTGGAGAATTGGAGGTGGAACGCCAAGCCCGATCGGGCTAGGGTAACACCAACAATGAAGACCTTTGATGAGAAAAGAAGTGTAAGAATGATGATGATGACCTATAAAGTGTAATGGGAAAGGATTATTCACCTTCTCATAGATAGAAACATCGGCGGTATCTTTCATAGAAGGATTATCGCGAACGTGGGCTACAGCATTTCGAAGTGGCGCAACCAAGTCTTCCCGGATCAATGAATAATGGGCCTCTAAGTATTTCTCCTTGGAAATCCAAGGTCCCGAAATGCAATTGGCCGTAAGAGCAACAACGTCTCCGGGTGTATCTGTCCCCATGATCTCTTCAGACGAGGGAAGTTCTGGCTTGGTTTGCCAAAGTCTCCAAGGCCCATAGATTGGTAGATCCGGGTCGAAGTACTGCCGGATTTCTGGATTAACTGGCTTGACCTGCTCCTTAGGCCGATTCCCATATTGAGGGCGGGACCGAGACATGATTGTCTAAAGGATGCGTGGGGTTAGCCCATGTATATATTTCAGAGATCATCTTCGATCGTTCCTTACCAAGGCTCCACCGCCCAAACGGTTTTTATCCTTTGACAAGTCACGCGTGATATTCTGCCCTTTTCACAGTGAATCTTTATGAAGCCGTGAAGATTGGAATGAGGAAAATGAGGGAAATGAGGAAATGTGGGAATGAGGAGGCGTAGAAGATAGAGATAAAGAGAGTTTGGTGTTCAATATGTGTCAAGTCAACAAGTTCGGACGATGTCAGACGAAAGATGATAAATTGAGTATGAAAATAAGTGACGTGCGAGTGAGGAGTGACAGACGTCGTTCTAGGATCTCTAGGAAGAATAGAAGCGAAGCAAATCGAAGTCGAGAGAAAGATAGTTATATTGTTATATCAGATACCTCGCAGATTCTACGAGAAGCAGATCGAAGTCGAGAGAATGATAGTTATATTGCTATCTTGAAGAAGAGAAGCAGGTCGAAACAGAGAGAGAGATTGCTGCATAGATTGTGTACATATTCCACTACCTAGATACATATTGAAGAAGGGAACGCATTATGCTCTCAAGGCATACGGGCCGATCCAGCACTCGCAGTTCAGTTTCATACTCAACTGTGCATACAAAGAAACTCAGGCACACCGCTCAAGAAGTCAATTCAGAGTTGTAGAGTGTGTGTCTTCAATCTGTATATATACCTGCTACCTGTGTATCATCCACCTGGGCATCTCTTCAGGCTTAGATAACATGGTCACTTAGGTTAACTGAATAACTAAAGGAAGGACAGACAAGGCCAACAGTTATGTAGTGGAAGACAAGGTCCCCCATTACAATATGTACTTAATATTTACCCCAAATGTCTCCGAGTGTTATATTCTGAGAAATGAATGCATTATGTCGACGTACCTAATGAGGTTCAACATTCCATATAATACCACATTGGCCACAGATATAGTCCAACGGTCTAGACTTCTCAATAGCCCACAAATGGACCTAGTCTTCAAAGCCCAGCCCAACCTACAGCCCATTTCTATACACAAACACGTCTAAAGTAGCTGATTAATGGCTGTATTTTACCCATGTACCAACCCATATATTCAGTTTTATCATATTATTATAGTAAGAAGTGGGAATTCAGTATGTTGTAGATATTAGGGTTTATACTTACCTTGGTATTAATTGTAGTAGTACAAATGGTACCTCTATTTACTATGTAATTCCTAAACAAAAGCAAGTACCCCTTGTAAAAGGTAAAGCTTTGTGAAAATCAACTTTATATCTTTAAACAGACCCCCGCCCGTCCGTTCTTTCTCTTAATCAGTCTTTTGAGTTAATTCATAAGCTTATAAGAAGAAGGTTTCTATATAGCTCTATTAGATTGATGGTAGTTTGAATACCCCAAAAAACCAGAGAAAAACTACCCAGGTGTATAGCGTTCAGGGTTACTTTGACGGGATTAGGTAGTGCCTGGATGCCTAATTTGGCCTGGCAGAAAAATAAAGATACCTGAATTACAGTTACAGAGCCCTATGTAGGCAACATTTGAAAGTACCACAACTCGTTCTCCTGGCCTAGGCAGTCCAAAAAAATGAAGCCTTTGAACACCATACAAGTTAGTACATCTCCATATTTCTGGGTGGTTGCAAGTTCAAGAAAAATGAAGATGCACTAATTTGTATGGTGTGCAAAAAGCTTTGCATTTGGAGGTACTATATTACATAGGCACAATAGTTATTCCACACCGAATGGTTTACAATACACTGTATAATGAGGCCTGAAAGCGGTCTAAATTCAGGCATAAACTAGGCATAAATTAGGCATAAAGGCACCTATCCCGTCAAAGTAACCCTGAACGCTATACACCTGGGTAGAAAAATGTATTAAGTATCCAGCTACGTTAAATTGGTATGCTTGTATTGTTTGGGGCCCATTATGGGCCCGAATGGGCTTTGTGGGCTATTGAGAGGTTGGACTCCAACTTCCATGGATATTTAGGATATTCTATTTTGCGAAGAGTATAACTACCACTAGTTATAATCTATCATCGCATACATACATATGTACACATATGTCCTCCTAGCAAATCTGTCGATGCTTTCCACTTTCAAGTACTGGTAAAGGAAGAACATAAGTCTTCAAGGTCATTATTGCTCTTTACTAAACGAGTTTAATGTAGAGATATAGAAAATTATTATTACTCTATTGATTATCATGTAGAATAGTATATCTACAATGGATCTAACAACTGAATGCGACAAATTATATCTGTTGTAGTTCTATTGTAGTCTAATGAGTACCTATTGTGGGTTGTATACAGCTTAAGAGCCCTTGTCGCTGATTGGTCCGCCAAGCATCGGATCCATTCCCAGCTTGGTCCATTTTAAGCCGCGACATAACGGGCGACGACTCTCTCCTTTGTGTACTCCAGAGCTGGAGCAGAATCCCGAACTCCCCGTCATTTGCCTTTTCCCGTTCGTATCGGAGCTCTCTCTGTTTGAGAAACACCGACCCCCTACTTCAATTGCGGCGCGCAAACGGTAGCTACCCCACACGTCGGACTGCCACAAGGGCCTTGACAATCATGGCTTCATTGGAGGAAGAAGAGGACCGTGACATGGGAGGTATGGCAATTGCTTGTTCCGATGGCTCACCCGCCGACCTCATCAATACCAACCTTGCTAATAATCCCATTCCCTAGGCTCCCAGGACGGAAGTTCCGATAACGAAAACGACAACGATATGGACGACACAATGCGCGACGTTGATGATGGCGAGGGCGACAATGAAAACGAAAATGATCAGGACGGGGATGGCGATCAGGATCCGGATAGCCCTTCGAATGCGAGTCAGGCGTCGGAGGGCCCTGACATGCAACAGAACACGAATAGGAATGCCGACAACATCGTGTTTGAACCATTCTCAATTTACCACCCAAGTGTGCGCTCCGAATGCCTTACAGCCCGGACCTACGATGTAGTTCCAACTACCGCCGCGCCACATGCCACCTCGATCAATGCCATCACAGCGACAGCGGATATGCGTTGGGTTTTCACCGGTGGGTCGGATGGGTTCGTGCGAAAGTTCAACTGGGCGGATTCAATAAACAGCAAGCTCATGTTGACCGTGGCACAAAGACATCCCTTCGTGGATAGTGTGGTCAAAGCTGGAGTCCTGATGACATACTGGGAGAATATGGATGGTAGCCACTTGTCACCGGTGTACTCGTTGGCCAGTCATAGTGAAGGATTGTGGCTACTTTCCGGGTTAGAATCTGGGGTGATTCGTCTGCAAACTCTCCGCCATGAAGAGGGCAAGGAAATCGCCCTTCTGCGACAACATACCTCGGCAGTGTCCACCTTGAACCTCACATCAGATGAACAATCATTGCTCTCTGGGGGCTGGGATAAACGGGTTTTTGACTGGGATTTGAATACCGGTCAAGCTAGACGAGCTTTCGGTGGCACCGGCGGACAAGTATCCGCTGTGGAGATTCGACCAGAGTCCAGTATTTCAGTCCCCAAGGACACAATCGAACCACAGCAGACCAATGGTACATATGCATCAAATTATGCTGCCCCCGGCACAGACACATTCAACTTCATGGATACCTCCCACGACAATGGAGATACTGGCGCAGCCGAGAACCCGCAGGCGGGCTCTCCGGCAGACTCACTCTTTGGCGGAGCGGATTCATTATTCGGCGACGCGGACGGTGGAGCTGCTGATGGTAATGAGCCATCTGGTGGGGTATTTGGAGTAGACGAGGACGACGAGTTTGGCCGTGCTGTAGCCAATGGTGCTATGGCGGATGCCGACGCACCAGGAGAGGTTGATGATGAAATGCCTGCCCAACCAGACGTGGTGCATGCACAAAGCGCACACAATTCATTATTGAAGCAAACAAATACTCCCACAGACAAACAGCTTCAGGAAATTGAATCCAGCGATGCACACATCTCGAATGGTCCAGTGGAGCCGGCTGTCAATGGGCTCCCTAAAGCAGAGGATCTCGAGACACCTCCAGCAGCCCCAGACTCCTCGCAAAATACCCAACAAGAGCAAGGTGTGGCAAGCGACAATACGTTCTTGGCTGCCTCAATTGATGGGACAATCCGAGTTTGGGACCGGCGACAACTTGATCCTGTCGCCCGCATCACCCCCTATAATTCTCCTCCATGGTGTATGAATGCTTGTTGGTCGCCTGATGGAAATTACATATACGCTGGACGCCGAAATGGCACTGTCGAAGAATACAGTCTACATAAGGGTTTGAGAAATGCCGAACGAACATTTAAATTCCCACAGGGCAGTGGGCCAGTGACGGCACTCAAGGCCATGCCGAATGGGCGTCATCTTGTCTGGTGAGTATAAGATCACTATGTAACACCAAACTACATCTCTAACCTTTCTTCCAGTGCCTCTCATGATATCCTCCGTCTTTATGATCTTCAAAATGAGCAAGGCGACCAGACTTCTCGCCATTCGCCGGTTCCCTTCCTGATCATTCCTGGCCATCGGACAGGAACTATCTCTCAGTTATTTATCGACAATGCATGTCGTTACATGATCTCCACCAGCGGTAACCGGGGCTGGGAAGGAAATACCACTGAAGTGCTCCTTGGTTATGAGATCGGCGTGCCGCAGTAGGGAAGGTCATGAATCATGGACACGCAAAGCATAATGTACGAACGATAGTGACATATGATAAACGAATACCATGACTTGAAATTCAAGCTACGAGAAATCCACACAGTTGGATTGAAACAGTCCACAAACAGTTGTGGCCAAAGGCCCAAACTCTGAAATTGAAACGATTGCCATGTAAATGTATCGGCCATGGATGCATAGCACAAACACCAACGCCAGTTCCCCTCCATATTTACAACATCTACAAGACCTGTCACATAAACAACCGAAAGATCATTACTCGTCATGAATGATTTCGTCCAAGTCCAACCCCTCACAAACTTCAGCTTGCTGGGATCGCCAGGTCCCAAAATAAGGATTGTTAGCCCACTTGACATGCCCATCACGATCGCTATCGAAATAGACATATCCAGGCTGGTCGGCATCCGCCGATTTCGCTGCTTTGGCAGCCCCCTGAGGACCAACCACAAGACTACCAAAACCAGGCAACGCAACATTGGGAACATGAGTTCTTGCCTCAACATTTCCATTCTCGATATTATTGACAGTAATGAGATAGACGGGCGGAAGATCTGCCTCACGGTTTGCACGAAGCGGCATAGGAATCCATGCCTCATTATTATAGGACTCTGGGCGGTCCTTGTCGTGGCGGAGGGGCAGGGGTCGACCCAACAGCATATCATCCAGTTTCCCTGTGTCTAACAGTATACCAGGTGTTTGAAGATAGAGCACACTGTCATACTGCATGAATTGTATCTGGCCAAGGTGGAGCAGCTTGCTGTTTGTTGTAGAGTAACCTGCAGCTGTGGCTGCTGACATGTCGATGGGAAGGAGCCATATATTGTATTTGGCGCTTGCGGCGCGTAATATTGATAACGCTTTGGTGGCAGATGGGCCTAAACTTTTGGCAGGCATCCTATCCCATTGCTCTGGGTACATGAAGAGGCGGTCCTGTACGGCTGTTCCGTTTGTGGAGAGTTGTTTGAAGAAGAGGATTGCGGAGCAGATGTCTGATGGATCTGGTTCCGATAGCATTTGAAGATAGGCATAGTTTCCATTTGAGTCATAGTTCTGTTGACTCCCGATAATTGGTATATCTTCGTCGGCTCCATACCCCGTGTCTGATAGACCTCGTTTTAGTGGCTTTTGGAATGCGGGGCCCGTCCTGTGTCTGGCCATTTGGGCGGCTTCCTGGGGTTTCAAAGCATGCTGAATATTCTTGACGGACTGTTGCTGCAAGACATATCCAGAGAGAAATAGCAATGCGGTAAATATGCAGATCACTCCCATTGACACAATGGCCGAAACTGTGGAGGACGTTAAAAGAACCATGGCCACAAGGGAAGCTGCATGAATTGGATAGAGAGAATGTGATGAGACAAAATCAAAATCTCAGACATGCATGGCCCCCTGGATGGCATTCAAGATATAATAGCCTTGGACTATTAATCTCATGTCTTATTGTTAGGCTTGTTTCATGACATCAGGTTGTTTACGTTGTCCACGCGATTATCGATAAGCGGTCTTGGCATTGTCACTTGAGCATTTTGTTGGCCAAGGGGTTTATTTTTAGTCGGACATTGATCATCCCTGGTCTGTATCAATACCATATAGACATTATTCTAGCTGGCAATTAGCGCGTTGAAATAAATGGTTGAGCAATGTATGATGAAGGTAGAGTATAGTTATATATACCTTCAAAGGTTAGTCGAACCGTGGCGACGATAAAGGCGGTGATAAAGGCGGTATCCCTCAAATCCGCATTATCGCGATGGTCTCAAAAAAGCTGCCGTAGTCCGTTTTCGCTCCTCTTCGATGCCTTAGCACTTCCGTATCCGCCCTCACCTCCAAAATGTCAGCTCATCGTGCCGATGCCAGCTCGTTCCTCGATAACCGCGGCTACAAAGGGCCCCTGGTCCGTGGCGTGAACCCCGCCACACTCTTTGAGAAAGCCGTGCGCGACCGCATCACCGACTCATACTATTGGAAGGAACAGTGCTTCGGTTTGAACACAGCAACTCTATGCGATCGTGCAGTCGAATTGACCTCTATCGGTGGAACATACGGTGTCTCTGAGAAACCAACTCCCTTCCTTTGCCTCGCATTCAAGCTCCTCCAGCTCGGGCCTGACCGAGACGTCATCCTCGAACTACTCAATTACACCGACCCTGGTAGTGGCGACGAGGCAGAAAACCCAGATGATGCTCTTGTCAAGGAGCGAGGCGACTTCAAATATCTCCGCGCGCTTGCGGCGTTTTACGTGCGACTGACCTTCGAACCCGTCGATATCTACAAAATCCTGGAACCACTACTTCTCGATTACCGGAAACTGAAGCGACGGGTGCGCGATACCTTCACGCTTACATATATGGATCAGTTTGTGGACGATCTTCTCACCAAGGACCGTGTCTGTGGTACTAGTCTCTGGAAGCTGCCGCCGCGATCACAACTGGAGGACTTGGATTTGCTTGATGAGCGAATCAGTCCTTGTGAGCCAGAAGACTGATCAGTCCTACATGATTTTCAGCACACAAAAACACAATCCCGCAGAAGGGGTAGAAGCTACCAGAAAAGACAAGACTTACACGTCGGGTTATAGTAAGTTTTGTCTAAATGGCCAGTGCTGCGCACTGTCCACGGGTGCTTCCCCCATAATCAAACCGTCATCTGCCGCCAAGCCTCGGGACATTTTTACCCTTTTGGGTAACAGAAGGGCTTCCACTTCGGTATACTTGTTCCCAGTTCTTATCTCTTCTTGTTTGACTGCAGAATCAATTCATTCAAGACAATGATTCTCGCGTTCTATCCATATTGAACAATGTAGGGAGTGAGTTGACAGATAAACCATCACCGCCGAACAATAGCAAACCACATGTCTCTAGTATGTACTGATATCCTCGTAAACTCGACAAACCGGGCGTAACTAATATACATGCACCTTGTCTACCTCCGTAACCCTATGTGCATGGTAGAACACATGATAAGGAGATTTGGCAAGAGGAATACCCCGGCTCTCAATAACGGAAACCAGCATAAAGAACCGGTATTTCCACTCCCAACACGGCAAATCCAATCGGGCAAGAGGACCAAAGAAGCTATCCGATGCGTACATCTTGCCACTCCTAAATAGATGCGAATTTCACCCCCGCTTCGGACATCCCTCACCTAAGTGCAACGGTATCCGAACATGCTTTGCGCGCTTTTAGTCCGGAGAGTACTTATTCACCTTGGCCCCCGTCCGTCCATAAATCTATACTCACTTTTGTGAAGCCTGCCCTCTGCGACTGTTGTGAAATAAACCCCGTATATTGAATCCCCATCCACCCCTGGTCTGCCCTAACTCGTATGGATTGAGCCGCTATGGATTTTCTATCGATCACGGAGAACCTCTGGCGAGTTGGACTCATTCTACTAACTGCCACTGGAGTCTACGCCGTCATTAATCGGACATTTGGAAAATATCTTTTGGGTAGAGTTAGGTTGTGCGGCCAAAGACACTCAACTGCCCGAACACCACCACGGTCTTTCTCTCCGGACAAGAAAGCTGCAACAAGCCCAACTACCCCATCTAGCTATGCCGATGTTCTCCCACCCCAACGCAGACATGCCCTTGCAGATATTAATTGTGATCCCGTACCCGGACGCGACGTGCACGAAGATGAAGTGCGTCGCCATATTCTACCCATGAGCGCCGACTATAGAACCAGCCCTGGCGACAAGTATACACCTATGGGATTCTCAGTGGCAGAAATCAAAGGACTTGGAGACTTTCCTGACTATGCGGCTCTAAGTGGAGTTGCGCTTCCTAGTCCATATCCCGAATTCAATATCGAAAAGGCACTACCTCGACCATATCGTCCATTCCGGTGGGCGTATCACCAAACTATGTGTACGTCTCATAGAAAGTCGAACAAGCATGATGTGCAACTAACTCCCTCCTCTATCCAAAAATAGCCTTGACCAAGCTCGAGACAGACTGGTGGATCGAGCTTGAAAGTACATACAAGAACCGCATTGCCCAGCGCAAAGAGCTCTACGCCAAAAATGGCGAGGAAGTTCTCGATGCCATGCCAGGCTCCGAGCTTGCATGCAAGGAGTTAATGGAAATGGTCTTGCAATTTATCTGCGCCCGATACCCGCAGTACTTCACCCTGGTTGACAAGCGAGTACTGCAGAACAAGATCCTCGGTACCGAGCAGGATGTCACAGCCATGCCCCCTCTCGAAGTCCTTCTCGAGAATGTCCCAGAGGACTTCGCAATCATGCTTCGGGACGAAAAGACGGGGTTTTACTTCCTGCGTGCGGCGGTGATCTGCTCCGCGCTAGGGTGGAATGTCGCGTCGAAGATTGGGAAGCAGCTGCATGAGATCCATGAACCGATTCCGGAATATAAAGAGAAGATGCAGTTCTCGATGGATCGGTATGTTGGTTTTGGTTCAAGTGGAGATACGATGATATCAAAATGCTAACGCGAGAGCTTGGTTTAGATTTTTCACCAAGATGCCGACGGAAAAGCCAATCCAGCGAGGCTCGTGGGGCCTGGAAATTGGACAGCCATTGTACATGCCACCCGGGGACCCCCACGAACTGCAACGGCTATCTCAGCGGACTGATTTGACCATTGATGAGTGTCATCTGCGGGTGGACTGGCAGACTCTCAGACGTCTGCCCTTGTCTGGTGCAGTTATTTTCAATTTCAAGGGGCTTTTTACTGCAGTTACAGAATTTCGTGATGAACCTGGCGTACCGGGCTTGGTGAGGAAGGTTGTTACAGAGGGAAAGAAAAACCTCATGGATTACAAGGGTGTTTGGCATGTGCAGCATGTTGTGCTTCCTAAGTTGGAGGAATGGGCCGAGGAGCAGAAGGATAATGGGTTAGTCCCGAAAGATTGGGAAGTATCTACTTTGGATGATAATCCGTGGTTTATGGGTTGGCAGGAGAAGTGGCATCGGCAGCAAGGATTCTAGGCGATTGATATGTCATTGTTCGGGTCTGATATCACATATATAAACATTTTGTATTCATACTTTTTAATGGTGAAATCGGTGAGCGGTCACTCCATTACTATTCTACGGATATTCCACCATCAGAGATTGCCGTGGCCAACACAGCCATTCTTCCCATTGGGGTCCAAGATACTGAGTGATTGAATCAACCAGATACTTGCCGCCATCACAGAATACCCACGAGTGCTTGTGGGTATTAACAAGGGCGCCGAAATACGCCAGGATAACCAAAGCCTCACATCTCCTCTGTGCAACCAGATCAATGTATTCGCGGGGGACAAGGATCGGCCATGCAATGAGGACACTTAAGCTGTCGGACCCTGGAGCTTGACTGTCGATCACAGTGATTACAGATTGCAACGCCTGGATAGCCTGTTTGTATATTTTCGTAGTAGTATCGTTGTGACCAAGGCCTTTGATGTGGTCCAAAAGCACATGGCAAACCGGACCTAGAATTTCATTCCCTGAAGGAATCCTTGCTCCGAGATCCAATATCGGTTTCAATGCTGTTTGTTGTAAAAGTTTCCATCTCCCCCGCCTGCGACAGTGCGTACCCCATTGTGTAACACGACATACTGAACGAATTGATCGAGAAAACCCTCAAAGTCATTGTCTCGATAGACTAGTGTCTCACAGAGCATATGCACCCCCAAAATGCCAGCGAATAGGAAAACCGCGACGTAGTTATTGTCATTGATTTGTGAGGATGAGCTGTTAAATGAGCTCAGCGCGTAACTCTGCAGCTGGGTAGAGTGGTGCCGGTAGAAATCCCGGTGTCCCGGTCTCATGATGCTGAGATGCAAAGAACTCAGAGATAAAAGCTCGTTCATGAGATATGGCGCACCAATGCCATACCGCACGATATCATGGAACGGGGTATTAGAATGATTGAATGGTTTTATAGTCTCTGAAGAGAGATTGTGAACAAGCTCCACATGGAGCATATTAACAGGAGCATCTTCGGGATTATTGCTGGGTTCTTGGGTGGGCGAAGAAGTCACGGCAGGCGATACAACAGCGCGCGATGAAATAGCAGGTTCACTTGTAACACTGTGAGGCTGTTCGGTAGGTACGGGATCCGGGAACCCGCAGTGACGCTGCGAACTAATGCAGTTGGAACATATTGGTCTTTTCTCATCACACTGAGCGGGGTTAGCAGCTACATGTAGGTAGTTGTGAGATGACAAACCTTAATGTGGCGGTGCTTGCATTCAATACAGCCATTTCGAGATTTTTTGTGTGTTCTTCGGGCCATTTTTGCCACGTTGTGATATAGAAAAAGATACGGCTAGGGCTGAAACCGATACGCGAGTAGTATATTTCAGACCCTTGGGCCCATAGTGGAGGTAAATGGTGCAGCCTAGATAGCCTTAGATAGTCTGCAGCAAGCCCAATCTCTAGGCCCACATAATATATGTAGCAAATCCAATTGAAGCGTCTTGAATGACTTCCAAAGTCGAGGTGAGGTTGAAAAAATGTGAGAATACGCGTATGCACGGACCAGACATCCACTCTTAATTAAGGCTAATTGTCTTGGCATTCGGCAGCTGCGCCGTTTTTGGTAAGGACAATATAAAATCCATTGAGCCTGCCTATTTAAATATCTAATTATATGATATTGAACCCATTCACGTAATATTATATATGCTTATCTCAGATAACGTACCGGCTTAAATCTCACTCACCCAGGCACCCATCATCACTTTCATTTTACCACTTTCAACCCTCTCATCCACAAGCAATAATAAACACCAATCTCAATCAGTTCTCCTTTCTGTGAGAAAGGCACATACACGATATGGGTGAGCTTAAGCCTTACAAAGGGGGCTACTATCTTTGGAAGTATGTCCCCTCGCTCCCACCAGCAATCATCTTCTTGACACTTTTTCTCGCTGCCACAACTTTTCACTTCTGGAAGCTCCACCGAACGAAAGCCTGGTTTTGCCTTCCATTTTCTATTGGGGGACTCTGTATGTATACTGAGAATCTAACCTAATTGAACATCGCTGACTGGCTTCCTCATGAAGTCGAAGTTATCGGTTACATCGGTCGAGCCGCTGCGAACAATAGTACCGATTCGGTGGTCCTTTTCGCGATTCAGAATGTCTTCCTCCTTCTTGGACCTACGCTTTTCGCAGCCTCTGCATACATGACCCTTGGACGAATCATCCGCAGCGTCCACGCCGAGAAACACTCCCTTATTCGGATCAATTGGCTGACCAAGATATTCGTGATGTGCGATGTCGTATCATTCGTTGTGCAAGGAGGTGCATCAGGCATGATGGCTACGGGGAATAACGTGAAAACGGCCTCAAACATTGTGGTCGCTGGTCTTGTCTTCCAGGTCGTTATGTTTGGTCTGTTCATTGTCACATCAATTGTCTTTGAGGTTCGCATGCGTCGATCACCCACGACAGAGACCTTTGGTGAGAGAATCAACTGGATGAGCCAATTGCGCACGCTCCTTGCTGTCAGTGCGCTTATCCTAATTCGGAGCATTTTCCGGGTTGTGGAGTACGCAGCTGGGGATTATGGGTACCCACTTACTCATGAGTGGATGCTCTATGTGTTCGACTCTGTGCTCATGATAATCGCTATGCTCGTCTGGGGTATTTGGCATCCAGGGACAGTGCCAAGAATTACAGTGCCGGACCAGGTGGTAGCCACAGAGTTAAAGGACTGTGGAGGTGTCTAGACATGTGTCTACTCCAATCAATAACTCTTGCTCATGGGTACTTTACTTGCTTACAAGTCTTTGAATAATGAATTTCTAAGTTCCAAGTTACATCATGTGGACACTACACTAAATCCACGAATTGCATACTTATCCTTCTTTAAACTAGGCTTAGCTGTATATCTTCGGATCCAATTAAAGCTTTGAATCTATGTACGTATAGTATAACTTGTCCTATTCATTTAGACGAGCACGGAAGTCTGGGGTACCTAGGCATAATGTGTGTGCACAGACAAACAAACATTGTGAAATGTCACAGATGATTCGAAGGTTTCTATATAGCTTTATATATCGCTTAGATAGTAGTTTAAATGCCAAAAAAAAAAAAAAAAAAAAAAAATGCATTATACAACTACGATAAATTAGTATATTTGTATTGCTGGGGGCCCCTATGGGCTTTTAATCTGCTCCGCCCTCCTTGCGTATACGCCAGAAAGGACGAGCAGCCAGCACAGAAGCACCACCATTGATAAAGCCACCGTGAATGTGGCTATACCCTACATTGTTGCTCGCCCTTGGCTTCATTGATCTCCAGCAGATGACGGGTCTTAGAATTGACCAATCATGCTCTTTACCGCGGACCCACCCATAGCTCAGGTTATATGCATAATTATATGCATAATTATAGCGAATCTCCAGACTTTAACAGATGTTAAAAGTGTATATAAGAAAAGAACGGGGAAATAAAATATTCCTTGTAAGAGTACATCCAGTCTTGTGTCGTTTATTTTCGAAAGAGGAATGGTAAGATAACCCTGAATACGTGGGTATTGCTACGTAAGGCTATCATGACGTATGTTGACTAGCAGTCATATATGTCAGGTATACCTCCGCAGTTCCCCGTGGCTAGAAGCAATGGAAAAGGTTACCTCTTCGCCTATATTAGCCCGGAATACTCGGGTACGTTTGAAATTATCACAGTGCCTGCTGTACACCATCTAGGATTACGAAAATACCCACAGCGACTCTGTGCCTTGAGTTCCGATATGGCAGCAACTCCACACTACACTCATCCGACGCGCAATCATGGTGGTTCTTCTAAGGACGACGTCTTAAATGAACCGGATTGGGCTATGACTCACCGCCACAGGATCGGGTTTCGCGATCGCGATGATCGCCGTCCGGCTTACACACATATTGGGGATGACTGGGATCTGGAGCAGGAGCGGGAATTTTTAGCTCAGGCAAAGCAAGAATCAGAGGAGCTTAACAAGAAGCTGGGAGAACACGATCTGATCAGTGTCCGCGATTACATGGACAAGCAAGAGGTGCGCAGTAGTGTCTCTCAAACTGTTATTGGCCCTTATCTCTGACTGTTCCCTTCCTAGGACTATCATTTGAGGTTACCTCAGAAACACCCGCAGGGCTCGCGCTACGTGCTTCACACTACGGAGGACTTTATAAAGTACCAGCAGGACTGGCCTATCAACGTGAAGAGACGTCAGCGGGAGGAAGAACATGAGAGGAATCAGAAGCAGAATGAAAACGACAAAGAGACACCACAAAAGGAACACGAGTGGAGACGTGGTCGTGGCGAGAATGAGACGCACAACGAAGCACATGCCACCGACCAACAATATCACGATGGTGACACAGAGGGAAGGGGGAATGGTCAGGAAAAAGGTCCACAGGACAAGTATTCACCACAAGAATTATCTTTGCTGCGCCTATTACAGGTCGAGAGCAATTACATGAAGACGCTGAAAGAGAATGATGGCAATATCAAGTCCCCCGGCAATTTACCGAAAGAGCAGGAGACATCTATTAACGAGGATGACCAATTCACTCCCGACAACTGGATCCCTCGATCTTCCCACCTCATCCGCCTAACTGGTAAGCATCCGCTCAACGGCGAGCCACAACTGCAAGCCCTCTATGGAGCGGGTCTCATCACTCCAAATTCACTACATTATGTTCGCAACCATGGCCCTGTGCCTCATCTTCTGTGGGAAACCCACCAACTTGATATAGAAGACGGAAAACTGGTCTTATCGATGGACGATCTCGCAAGCAACTATGATACTATCAACATTGCGGTGGCAATGGCATGCGATGGGAACCGGAGGAAAGAGTTAAATATGATAAGACGCTCCAAAGGTTTTAATTGGGGTGCTGGGGCCATTAGCTGTGCATTCTGGAAAGGTCCTCTGCTGTGCGATGTGCTTCTAGCCGCTGGTATCCAGGGCCCTGATCCCCTCCACGAAAAGCGTCCACGTTGGGTCCATTTTGAAGGCGCTGATGATCTCAGAGAGGCCAAGTACGCGACATCTATTCCACTGGCATATGTGATGGACTCTGAAAACGACGTGATTTTGGCATACGAAATGAATGATGTGCGACTGCCACCAGACCACGGTTATCCAGTGCGCCTGATAGTCCCCGGCTACATCGGTGGTCGTTGTGTCAAATGGCTCCAGAGGATCTGGGTCTCTGACAAGGAGAACGATAGCCATTTTCATATTTGGGATAACAGGGTTCTGCCTAGTTTTATTCGGGATAAAGACTCGGAGTTCTCACACATCATGTTCCATCACTCAAGTACGGCTTGCAACGAACAGAACCTCAACTCAATTATTGTAAAACCTGGACACGGCGAGGCGATTCCTTTGTCTGATGTGAATAGTAATCGGACTTATCGTATAGCAGGAATTGCATACGACGGTGGCGGCCATGAAGTCCAGAGAGTGGAAGTCAGTCTCGATGGTGGAAAAACTTGGTTATACTGTGTCCGCAAGGTAAGCCTGTCTATTCAGTGGTGCCAGTAACGCGTCAGTTGTTAAATTGCACGTCCAGTTCCCCGAGTACCCCATTCGCCATGGAAACAAATTTTGGACATGGCTCCATTGGTATGTGGATGTCGCATTACCTAGTCTTGTTCGAGCCGAGAGTATAATCGTCCGGTGCTTCAATGTTTTCAAGAATACGCAGCCGGAGGCCCCGGTATGGAATATTATGGGGTAAGTCTCCGTCACCACTCTTTGGGTGGCTATTAGCTGATTCTGCATAGAATGATGAACAATTGCTGGTACATCGTCCGCCCAGAGATTTTAGACAACGAAGGAAATTCGGTGCTGTACTTCCGACATCCCTGTGAGCCCGGTACAGGGGTGGGAGGCTGGATGCAACCCTCGTCGGAGAATCGCATCGAGAATATCAAGCACGAGGCAGTATCACCGCAAAAGCAATTCACACGTGAGGAGATTGAAAAGCACAACAAGGAAAATGACTGCTGGATTGTTATCAATGGCAAGGTCTACGATGCGACAAGTGTGCTAGATTGGCATCCTGGTGGCAAGGCACCTATCATGGCACACGCGGGTAGGGCACATCCCGATACCACACATGAATTTGAGAGCATTCATGATGACTATGCAGAGCAGAAGCTGAGCGGTACTGTATATCCGTTCCCCCGTTTGTTAAAATCTTGACTGACTGAGTACAGAATGCATCCTAGGTGTTGTTACCGAGAAGACAATTGGGTTCATCAAGAAGCAGGCCGAAGACGCGGCCAAAGATAAAGCCAACTACTCAGATAACGACTTACAGACTGTATTTAACCGCCATCGGTGGAAGGTAGTTCGCTTTGGGGGAAAGGAGCAACTTTCTGAGGACACTCGTCGATACACTTTCGTGCTACCAACGAATACGAAGAAGCTCGGTCTCGGCACCTGTCAGCATCTTCAACTGGGCTTTCATTTCAGTGACAGGCTTGTCGTCAGGCCATACACACCTACGAGGCCAATTTTCGAGAGAGAAGAAGATGGCACATTTGATCTTGTCGTCAAGACATATGCCCCCGATCAATCCCAACCAGGCGGAACGATGAGCAATATTCTCGACTGTCTGCGTCCTGGCGAGGAAGTTGAAATCAAAGGGCCTTCAGGCGAGATCAGGTACATCGGCCAAGGCAAGTTCCTGATCGACGACAAAGAATATCATTTCCACAATGTCAGTCTTGTCTTGGGAGGATCCGGTATTACCCCCGGGTACCAGCTTATCTCACGTATCCTACGTGCCAAGGAGCAAGGTATAGAAGAGGATAAGACTAATCTCAAGGTCATCAATGCGAACAAGACTGAAGACGATATACTATTGAGGGATGGATTGGATAAATTTGCCGAGGAGAATCCGGATCAATTCAAGATCACCCATGTTCTTTCGCATCCAAATGATAATTGGAGAGGAGAGAAGGGTCATGTGTCCAAAGACATTCTGCAGAAATATACATTTGGACCCGAGAAAGAGAACCTGGCGCTGCTTTGTGGTCCTCCGGCTATGATTAAGAAGGCTGTGCTTCCGGCGCTGCAGGAGATTGGATACAAGGAGGATGAAAATTTGTTTGGATTTTAACTCTGCTGCCTTCAAGTTGCGATAATCTGGCATACTAACTGGATATAACGTGCTCTGATTGTCCTTAGTCTCCGGTAATAGTTATCTCGGCGAAGTGAGGCCCTGCCTCAGCGGCTAAAGGATGACGTTGACAAGCACACCCCTTTATACAACCTAGAATCAGTAAAGGATCGCTTGCAAAACCCAGGCATTAGTTCCAAGGTTGGTAGGTAGCTCCAAGGAGCCTTCATAATCATCACTCCTTTATCGGTCTAGCTGATTTCTTGACGTATCCCAATAGTACTGAAATAAAGTCATTATTGCAAAACTGGCACGATTGCCATTAAACTCCATCTAGTCAAATTATATTGATATAAACAACACTTGAATTTCCCTCCAACTTCAATACACATCATCACATCCATCCATTCAGTCAAAGGGGATTGGTATAAACAAATCTTGGACATGCCTCCCAACTTCCATACATATCGTCACACAGTCATTCAAGCCTTGGTGGATTCAACCTCGACGTGATCAGTATGAATTTGTTTCTCGTCCTTGAGATCCTCCAATATCTCAACGCCGGCAAGACCAAGACTCTCATTGATCCGCGTCATGCGCAAACGATCAGC